AATAAGCTATTATTTTTTTGCGAAGGCTCTTCGCGTAGGCTATGTGATGCAGATGTGTTTCCATTGACAACTTCAACTGCAACCAATATACAAGACATATCAAGACATTAAAAGACCATATGATCATTTTACCATAGCAACTTGGGACTGGCATCTACTTTCGTAGGGCGTACATGCGCAGTGCAACCCAAACCTGCGATTCATATTCAATTCAGAATCTCTTCAGTGGTCAGTGTCAGATTTTCATCATTACCTTGGGGAGTGTGAAGCCTACACGCCTTTTTTGCAAATTTCGAGGCTTCTTTGCGAAGCCTCGCAAAGGCTCCCCGAAGGCCCCGCGAAGGCAGAAAATCACCATGAAACACCAACTAGCCAACGCACCTCCGCGAAGCATCCCTGAAAGCTCGATTGCCCCTTATGCAAGGATGTTCTTTTTTAGCACTTGCTCATTAAGCTTCCACCAAATACATCCCTTTGCTTTTCTTCTTGCTCTTGCCTTGAACTATCTCGAAAGGCCCTAGTCAAATTACCATCACACTCCAGTAACTCCAGTAGCAGTTGGAGCATAAAGCTTTTCAAAAAATATGAAGGTCACATTGATGCGTCCCATTCATGGCAATCGTTCGTAAAAGGCGAAAGATTGGCGCGCTATGAAGTGAACGCTGTGATGATATTGTCGAATATTGTAGCTTAAGACAGCTTGTCTTTGGTCAAACATCTTCGCTTCTGCATGCGCACACTACCTTTTGCCTTTCAAACTTACATGCCCTACATCTTGTATACTATTAGATAACTTACTGTTACCGTTACCCAGGCTTTCTAGAGAAGGCCAGCGCGAAGGCTTGTTTGAGAGAACGCAGCAAGCGCGAATGCACCCTCCGCAATAAAACCCATTCCGCGTAAGCTTTCGCGAAAGCCCCTTGTAGTGTATAGCCGCCAAGCACCCAAAAAACAACACTCAAATGGCAATTTGAATGGGAACATGACGATCAATCAATATAAGTGATTGGATTTTGGGGTATCCGATTTTCGGATGGTAATTTTGGGGTATACCGGTACACCCCATGTTTAGACACACCTATGGGCGGAATGAAATATGGAATGGATATTAAATTTAGATAAATTTAGGATTTTGTGCCTGTACCATCTGCACCTTAGGCGTGTCAGCCCATTTGTGGACTAACCTGTGAATGGATTGCACGCTGCATTGGTTTTGCTTCTTGGATAAGGTGAATTATGAAAATCCACATTTTGTGGATGAACGTCCCAGTGGAATCCAATTTTTGAAGCTTAAGTTTCGACTAGTCTGAATGGACACTCCTATTTCTTGTGGTTAAAACACATCCCTGTTGCGGTGAACAAACATCCAATTTTTTTCTTCATGAACGCCATCCAAATTTTTGTCCATAAGAACCATCCAATTATTGTCAGTCAACCCCCCCGTTCAATCCGAACTTTTTGTGCAAAAAAACACATGTTGTTTCTGGATCGAAAGCCAATTTTTTAGTCAAACATCCAACAATTTGAAGCTGGTACTGCCACTTGTTTTGGTCAAAACCAATCTTTTGGTACGGTAATTCCCAGTAGTTTAACCGAACCTGTGGCTGAACCTCGACTTTTTTGTGGCTTTATATAAGTAATCTCATTTAAAATATCCTCAATTCCCCAATCTCAGCTTTGAAGTTTCGAAAAACTGGAAAAACTGAGACTTACCTCACTTTTCCATCATTTTTCCATGATTTTTCCCCATGTTTTCACCATTTTTTCACCACGTCCACTGGGATGTCGGTGAGGCCAGCGCCTCCACGGACGGAGCCTTCTCCGACACCGTGGCGGACGCCATGACGCACGCGGGGACGGTGGCCGCGCAGGGCGCCGGGATTGACGCGGCTCAGGCCGGGGGTGGGATGAGGGACCCCATTTTTTTCAGTTGGTGAAGGATTTATGTATCTACAGTTAGATATATGGCAACTTAATTAGATATATCTACAGTAGATATACAGTTGGATACAGTTATCCAAAAGCGGTTTATGTAAGCTATGGTTGTAGATATCTAACTGTAGATGGTGCCAACAATCTAACTATACAGTTATAAAGTTGCAAGCCAACTGCTCAGAATCCCTTCTCTTTTGGGTGAGGATGGACTATGGCAGGGGGTTCACTAATCGACTCAATGGGATTTCCGGGATTTCCATGGGAATTTTCATGGGATTTCATGGTGATTTATGGGGATTTACCCATCAACAATAGGGATATAACTTGATATATATATATATAACCATCAACAATAAGGATATAAATGATATAAACATTTTTTTGGGAGTAGGATGGACTGCGACATGGAGATACAGGGAGGAAATGATCGAGCAGAATCAGGAATTCAGAGATTTTAAAGGATGAAACAAACAGATTCGAATCAAGATTCTATATATTCTATATAGATATAATTAATATTCTATATATTCCACATATTCACCATTCCATATATATATATTCCATTTCATGAGGTGCGACGGTTGGATGAGGTGCCAACACAAGATGCGGACATTCATCAGCATGGGGATGACGACCTCTGACAAAAGATACCCTCTGGCAATTTAACATAGCTATTGAACATGGCCATTTATAGTGGATTTTCCCATTGAAAATGGTGATTTTCAATAGCTACGTTAAATTACCAGAGGATAAGATACAATTGCAAAGCATCACTTGGGATAATGAAAACTCAAGAATAGATGGAGATTGGTCAATACCTATAGATACATTTTTAGTGGGATGAACATCCATTTACCAGCTATTTTGGGGTTCACCAGGGGTACAAGGTTTTGACCCATCCCCAGATGGAGATTGCCATGGACATGGCTTTTTCTTCGTAAATGGTGAATACATGTGGTATCTCGGAGGTCAGAACATGTCAGAACTGACCATAGCCGAGGTCAGCGGTGTGGTGGCAGACTGCGTCAAGGCAAGTGGCCGGGGTTGTGCAACGCGTATTCTTGGAGTGAAGTCACTCAGGATTTCCAAATGAAGCAGGACTTCAAAGATTTCAAAGTCACTACATACAGGACATGAGTTGTTGTTTGTTTTTTTTTCGTTCCCTTCAAGTTCCATTTTCCATGATTCCTTTTCAACCCCACTGGAACGCCTCTGGAAGCTTCGCCATTTTCGCATCGCAGGCCACAGAAGATGCGAGTGCAGATGGTCTGAAGATCCCTCAGGATGTGATGGACAAGTGCATGACCACAGCCAAGGCGAAAAGCCAGGGCGCTTTTTTGGATACCTTGGAACTGGGGTTGTAAGTTGGTGACTGGGGTGATAGCCCATGTATATATATATATGTATATATGTATATGTATATACATGTATATATATATAATGATATATATATAATGATATATATATAATTATATAGTTATATATACATATATAATTATATATATATATACATATCTATATAAACATAATGATAGATGTATCTCTAACTGCCCAAGATTAGTCCCAGCCCTCCAGGCCTCCGGTTTGGGCTTGGCCGCTGAAGTCATGGCAACCAGTGGACTTTTGGCGCCTGAAGCGGCACAAGCTGCCAGGACGGCGCGAATTGTGGTGACGACCTGGTGAGTTTTTTCCGATGGATTTCAAGGATTTCAAGAAAAATTCTATTTTAATGGTGTTTTACTGTGATTCAATGGGATTCAATAGGATTCAATAGGATTCAATAGGATTCAATAGGATTCAATAGGATTTAATTGGATTTTGATGGGATTTTATGGGGATTTTAATTGTGTTTTACACGGTTTTAATAGGGATAATCATGGGATACTAATGGGACAACAATGGATTTGCCCTCTGGTATTTTAACATTGCTATTGAACATGGCCCATTTAGTTCGATGATTTACCTATTCGACATGGTGATTTTCTTTCGCTATGTTAACTTACCAAAGGGTAACTTACCATTTCCTTTTGGGTTTTAGTTGGTTTGAGCATTGTATAGGCCTCCGTGGCAGGTGAATATTTGTTTTTCCCATGTTGATGGAGGATATATGATACATGCACAAGTCGCATTTCAGAAGCAACCTTTTTTTCTGCCGCATATCTAAGGTCCACCCATCAAGACTGGCGACCCGCCAAAAGAAATATACATACCCTGTGCTTCTTCACATAGCCATGGAACATCACCAGATTAAGAGGTAAATAAACTATAAACTGGGGGTCCATTTTTCCCAGTTCGCAAAGTGTTGAAAAAACAACAGAAGGCCGATTTTTTAAGGACCTGAACCCCGCCGATTGAGCAGTGTTCAAAACGTTTGTTGGTTGATGATTATAGGGGATGATACTAACCAATATATTGGGGGATTATCAGATTATCATGAGTAATCAATATCCGGAATGGACATTCCTATTTAACCAACCAGTTTTTCATGGAATTACAGAGGGTTTTTGGAACACCAGTGGAGCCAGTGAACTAAACCAACTTGGCATGAATCAGGTATGAATCCCGAAAAAAAACCCAGGATTTTCCGCATAACTCCGATGAGTTTCCCATTAAATTTTCATTAAATCCCACAAACTTTCCTATTAAATCCCATGAAATCACCATGAATTTCTGAATTTCCCCAGAAATCCCAGCAATTTCTCCATAACTCCTTTGATTTTCCCATTCAAATCACAATTTCTCCTTCAGCCCGGCAGGAAGTGCGTCTACGACGCGGCCATCCAGGGCGGCAAGACCCCGGGCGAGGCCGCGGCCGCGGCCGAGGCCGCTGCGCGCAGCGTTGCTTGGTAGGTTTCAGGAAATGGCTGGCATGCCCAAAATCATCCGGCTATGGATCAATACCTATGAAAATACCATTTTTAGTGGGATGAACATCCATAAATCCCAGCTATGACTTGGGGTTCACGGTTTTGACCCATCCCCATCCAAGAACTATTGGTTCATGTGGGTAATTTTTGACAAAAAGCTATTGAAAACGGCCCATTGAAATAGTTGATTGACCTATTAAAGATATGGGATTTTCCATAGCTATGTTAGTTTACCAGAGGGTGATGTGGGTAAAAGAATGCCATAAACCACCCATGACTGGGAATGGTTTATATATACCACCTATAAACATGGTGATGGCTGGGGGATGGTTTATGGCATTGTTTTACCCACACTATTAGCAAAAAACCATTGGTTGTGGCCATATTTCAGGACACCAATTATGATAGAGGTTCCATATTTAGTGGGATTTGATGGGGAAAACAATGGTGAATATTGGTTCATTATGGCTAAGAATGGTGGATAGGGGTCAATGATAGTGATTAGTGCTGATATGGTGGTTTCTTAAGTCATGGGAGATCCCCAAGTCACTTTTTTCTTTTTTGGTATGTTTCAATATGGCAGTGTGTCAAAACCTTGTACCCCTGTAGTTCACATCAAAATAGCTGGTAAATGGATGTTCATCCCCCTAAAAATGGTATTAATAGGTATTGATCCATACCTATATTACAATGGTCTATTTCTTAATGTAATGACTGGATGATTTGGGAGTGCCCCCCATGACTTCGGAAAGCTCCATTTCTGGACATGGGGACATGGGTGAATATGAAAGACCTGGGAGGCCACGGATCGACTTGTCTATTGGGCTACGCAGTTTTGACCCATAGCTACCCTCTGGTAATTTAACATAGCTATGGAAAAGCACCATTTTTAATAGGTAAACCATCTATAAATGGGCCATTTTCTATGGCTATGTTAAATAACCAGAGGGTATATGATAATATCAATGAGTATTTTTTTTAAAAAAAACATGTCAACCCCGGATCAATGAACCAGGCTTTCAATCATGGAAAACAACCCTCCACACAGTAATAATATGATACTTAACCATACTTAACCAACCACAACTATATGAGTCTATCTGACAAGGGTGAATTAACCACATCTTTCTGGTACCTTTTTGTCACGGGATTTTTCCCAATGGATTTTTCGAGGTACCATATTATTCATGATCGTAATAGCAACAGGAATAGTCATAGTATTAGAACAACAATAATAGTAATAAGAAGAATGGTGACGATGATAATAGCAGCAATCAATATCAATACGAATGAGAATATTAATATGGAGCAATAGATACTATTCATAATAATTGTGATAATGATAATGCTCACAATAAAAATAACAACAATGACAACAACAATAGTGAAAAAACAACAATCATAACAACCATATCAAGAACAACAATGACAATAGTATTAGTAATACTGCAGTAACAATAATAATGATAACATATAAGAGTAAAATCATACTACTATCAAAGCTTAAATATCACTAGTAATCATGACAATCCTGAGGTTGCTGCAGCCTTGGCACGCCCAGACAACCAGAAAGTGACCCCGGAGCCAGTGCAACGTGTGGGCCCGGGCCTTGGTTCCTTGGTTCGTTCTCTCCATAGGGGCCATCTTGTGAGAAACGAGGGATTTTCGCTGTGCCCAATATTTACCTTTCTGGAAAAACTGGGCTGGGAGCAACCCTGGGGACTGTGTTGGAGGGGTTTGTCAGATGACCCGCAGTGGAAATGGGAAATGGGCATGGATCAAAGCCTATGAAATGTGCTTTTCTTGGGAGGCTGAACATTCATTTGCTAGCTGTTTGGTGCTTCTATGTGTAGCCTGGTTTAAACCCATACCCAAATATCAGTGGGAAATACCATGTTTGGAGTAGAATCAAAACACGGCCCCGACTCTTCGGCTCTGTTCAAACAGGTTATACGTATAATATATATATATAATTATATATACATATGTACACATGGATGCATGCATTACATTACCTTGCCTTACCTTACCTTACCTTACGTTGCGTCACGTACGTTAATTACATTACCTTACATTACAATACACTACACTACATTGCATTGCATTGCATTACATACATACATGGACACCTAAATATATGTATATCTTGCCCTTTAGCTGGTGTGTACACTTGAAATGGTTCCCCGCCCACCAAAATACACATTGATTCAGGTGAAGACTGCTGGGTGGCGTGTGGGAAGCAGCCGGGTGGCCCAATGCTTGGGGAACAGCAACTCATCAAGGGATCGGATCAGTTGCGTATTCTAAGTGTAGAGCTTCGCACACCGGCGATGGCATAAGGGTTATGTTATGTTGGTACTGATTGATAGATAGATAGATAGAAAGATAGGTAGATAGATAGACAGATAGATAGATTGATAGATACATACATGCATGCATACGTATGCATACGTACGCACATGTATGTATATATCTATATGTGCATATATGTTTACACCGATTTGTCTGTATATGCATTTAGATATTTTGGGCTGCACCCTTGAAAAGGTCGGGGCTTTGCGCTTTCTGCGGCGTTGGCAATGCCTGCTGTCGAAAGTCAGGGTAACCTAGTTGCCATGGTAGTGGCGCGGTTTCGACGGGGCATTTGACTGTGGCCATGCGGGGGAAATTTGAGACCGGGAATCCACCAATCTTGGTGATTTTTAGTTCTAGATTCTAGATAGGGGTGTGTCTCAAACTTCGGGATGCCACTAAATAACAATTTTACTATGGAACTGATGATAAACCGTTAAGGTGTGAGCTACCGTGTTTTCAGACAAAGCCATAGTTCCGGTAGTCCAGCCAATTTTGGCGGTGCCCACTTCTGATTCGTACCCTTTCGCCCTTGGGTATGAATGAAGTCACAGATTGTTCTTATCATTCTTACCGTGGTTCTGAGGTGACTTTGGAATACTTGCTTTAGATGTTTGAATTTCATGTGGAAGTCTTTGTGACATATGCGTTGTTGCTTGGTACACCTTGGTGAGTCTGGCTGGTCATGGCGTCATTTTCAGACCTGTCGATGGTGGAAGGGGTTTGCCACGGCTTGGCTGAACTAGTTCTTCAATTTAAGCAACCATATTATAGCTAACTATCCAATAACTACTGTATCCATTATAGATTTATAAATATCCATTGACATTATAACTATATATACTATATATATAATGGATATTTGGATATATTTATCTATTGATATATATATATATATCCATTGGATAATTGAATATCCAGCATAATCTCATCGTAACCTGTGGAGCTTCTCACCATGCGAACGCTACGCTTTGCTTTACGCTGGAACGCTGCTAGGGACGAGTTGAATCCCACGAAGGCCTGTCAGAATGTTTGGGTGCCCCAGTGGGGCCTGGCCACGGCACGGCCAACCGGGAGATGATGAAAAGGGCAGGGAATTGGGATATATATATATATGATAGTTGTAACTGGATAGTTGTCATTGGAAGATTTGAATGGATATCTTCTTTATATCCAATTGGGATAGTTGTCATGGATAGTTGTCATGGATAGTTGGATGGAATGGATAGTGGTCATGGATAGTTGTCATGGATAATGATGGGATGGATAGTTGTCATGGATAGTTGTCATGGATACCGTTCATGGGACTTTCATAGAATCAAAATAACATGGGTAGCCAATTATTGCACCAATGAGATGTATGGGGACTAGAAATGGGATAGCTATCCATATGGGTACTGTTATTATAATGGATAGTTAATCACAATGCCAATAGATATTTATAATGGATAGTTATTGGATAGTTAGCTATGATATCTGATATGTGAATACGATGTATGGGGATGTATGGGGATTTACCACGGATTCGGTGCATTTTCAGAGAGGTTTTCCACGAGTTTCTGGGAAGCCAAGGTTTCCACGAGTTGCTTAATATTGTTTGTCTGGTTGGTGGTCTGGAACATTTTTTATTTTTCCATATATTGGGAATAGTAACCCCAACTGACTAGTACTTTTCGGAGGGTTGAAATCACCAACCAGTTGTTTAGTGTTGTTTGAGCATCTATGGTTAAGCAACAATGGTATCATGTACTGTACTGCTATACTGTACACAAATCATTTTGTTGAACCCACCACTTGGCAGCTGTGGTCATCTCCAGCAATATTCTCAGTTTCTCACCATTTCAGATGACACTCATCATTTGGACTGCCGGTTCTGGCAGCTTCAAACTCCATTGGGCTTCGACCCTAACCAGTTCACCAGTAGGCAAGCACAAGAATCTGATTGGCAGAGGACCCACGGATTTTCACTCCCGGCTTGCTCATCGCAAGTATTTCGAGTGGTTCCCAAAGTCAGAATTTTAACATCCCAAGATATGTTTGTGAAATCAACATATTTGCTGGTCAGATCTAAAGTTGAGCTGGTAAAATCCACAAGATTCCCCAGATTTTGATGGACCCCCCTAGAACTGCACATCCAGCACCGCCGTTGCCGAGATCAAAACCTTCTCAACATGGCACCATGAGTGCGTGCGCCCTGTACACCTGCCAGAGGTGGCTGCTGGATGCAGGGAGGTGGCAATATCCCGAGGATAGAGGTACCTTAGTTCTTAAGCCTAACTGGCAGAGAAAACTGGGGGCATCCTTGATTCTAAGATATTCGAACTAGCTTACGACATCTTACGACTATGAACCTCATTTTGTTGTGGGACAATATCAAAGAACATGACTATTGGTAGAATTACCGCATTGGCAGGAACTCAATGTTCAAAATTGCCACGTATGAGCCCCCAAATGTAAAATACATTCCACTAGGGTTTCGTTTGGGGGGGTATGTCATATTAGAATGCAGGATTTAATTACCAATCTGAGATATCCCCACTTTTAGCTATATATCACATTAACATACATTAACTGTTAAGACTAGATGTTTTATATCTCAACAAATTGTAACTTAGGGGGTCCCCAAAAAGATGTCAGGATGTGAACGATGGGACTCCTCCATCATTGGTTACCAACTTTTCCAGCACGCGGCAGGGACCACAGGAAATTGACGATATACACTTTCATAGGGTTTATTTAGGTCGTATGTACGGTTTCTTTAGGGTCTCAATAGGGTTTCTTTCGGATTTATTTGGGGGTTCTTTCGGGTTTATATGGGGTATATTATTTAGGGCTTATGTAGGGTCTCTTTAGGGTTTCTTTAGGGTCTCTTCAGGGTTTCTTTAGGGTGAATTTAGGGTTTACGGGTTTACGAAGGTTTTCTTTAGGTTTCTTTAGGGTTGCTGTATCCGCAGCACGTGAACCGCTTTGGCCCGCAGAGGGTTCACAGGGACGTCTCTATGTAGGACCTAGAGCCATTTTGGTGTTAAACCTTCAACTACACCGAAGCCACAAAGTCCTGTATGGGTCACCAAAAACAAAGGTTCCGTCAATCATCCCGAAAGCTCTTGGGGCTAGGGCTTACTACAAAACTATTGTTGACCTATCACCAATCATCAGAATTGGTATTGTTGTTTTGACAATCCCAACAAGAATCCAAACTATAATACTACAATAATGATAATGATGATAATAACAACAGTGCTGCTAATAGTAATACTTATATACACGTAGGTATAGTTATGATAATCATATTGATAACAATCATGAACATACCTCAATAATATATAATCATAATGATACTAGATATTTTATAACCATAGTGGCATTATGTGGCATTAATATACAACCATAATAGACGTAATATATGGTTGTGGATCGAAACCCTGGTACCCTAGGCTTATCCTCCATCATTCACCAATACTAACCACCATATACCACCATTAGCCATGGCTATCACTGTGAAAACCATGATTGATGATCAACCATCCCAATGGTAAGCATGATCTTTACAATTTCTAGTTATTGACCATTAGCCATTCACCGTGGGTCATCACCATAAACCACTATCAATTATCATCAATCCTTCATCAACCCATTAACCACTATCAACCACTACCCTCTGGTAAACATACAAAAAACTATGGAACATCACCATTTTTCATGGGAAAATCCATGATTTCTATGGCAATTTTCAATAGCTATGTTAGTTTACCAGGCCGGGTACATGTGGTGGTTTCCCAAGTCATGGGGGTACCCCCAAATAATCCAATGATTTCCCCAATAAAAATCCCCCGAAACGCCAGGACATGTCCGACGTGGCGGCGGCCGTGACCGAGGCCAGCGGCTACGAGACCGCCGCCGAGAGCGCGGCCATCGCCAGCGCCGCCAGCGCCGGCGGCGGCCACGGCGCGGCGGCGCAGGCCGTGGCGGCGGGGACGGCGGCGGCGAAGGCGGCGAAGGACGAGGGGCTCAACACGGTGAATCAGGTCACAGCCGCCTGGCAGAGATGGGGATAGGATGGCAGAGATGGGATGAATGATGATTTTTTTTTGGGTAAATCTATGGTAAATAGATGGTGGTTGATGAAAAAATACAGGTAACCTTAGTTAATTTGAAATTGCAAATCCAATTTTATGCAATCTATGGCTTGGGATGGGATGAAAAGTGGGAAATCTATGGTACATTGATGGTAAATTGATGTAAATAGATGGCGATTTCCACCATTGTTGAGAGGTAAATCATCTTAAATGAGTTATAGGAGCATTTTCCATCTTAAATGGGATTGATATGATGGAAATACATGGACATATGATGGACATACATGGTAATCACCATTACCAGATATGATGGAACTATATATGTGATAATTTAGGGTGATTCATATGGGACTGGCAGACTTCTCCTCTGCTCGTTTCAGAGATTGTTATGGAAAATTGATGAACATGGCGGTGATTTCAAACGGACTGGGATGGGGTGAGAAAACCGGCTGGAAGAGCAACAAACATGGAGATCCGCCTGCACTATTTGGTGAAGTCCGAAAATTTGAGGAATTTCGAAATCTCCCAGTTGATGACGTACATGATCTTGTCAACAACCCTAGGTTTCGGTTTGCTAAGTCAATTTCCATCAATTTCCCCTTGATTGGATGTAGCTGAATGGGAGATCTTTGTGAAGCTTCCATGGATAGGATCCCCCCGAGGTCGCGTACAAAGCTGCAGAGAACGCTGGAAAGGCGGGCCGCAACGCAAGGCCTTGCGTGGCCCAATTGGGATGGCAACGACTTTTTGAAGTGGGGAAACCACGGTGTCCACCTGTGTCATACAACAAGATCATGGTTTTTGAATGTTTTTGAGATATCCAAACTACCATTGCTGACATACCCATAGGTTGTATTTTGCCGAAGTGTATTAGATTCGACTAGTGACTAGATCCCAAAGATATCCCTGCAGCCTTGTATCCGCATCGTAGCGAGTTTTGCATTTATAACATTTATAACCACCATGTTGTGTGCACACAGCACCAGTCAGCTACTAAGATTCACAGCATTCGTTCGACTGCCCCGTGGTTGCTTACCCGTAATACGGTTTTCTTTCAAAATAATAGGGTAGGAGCCCCAATCATTGGCTTTCCCATGTTGAAGTAGACTTCTTTCCAGAGTGTCTGATACCTGATACCTCCTGTTTTCAGACAAAACCCAGTTTGTCCCCATTTTACCTTTCAGATCCCGATCTTTCTTGGCAATCCCGGTCATACTTCCCAATCCCAATTGTAGATTAGATGATCCCGCATCTACTATACATCTCATTGTCTTCCCAATCCAATTTTAAATCCCATTCAATCCCACTACTTCGTGACTATTCAATCCAATTTAGAATATCCAATTCGATCTCCAGATGTTAAAAAGTCCCATCAGAGTGTGTTATATGATATATTCTAACATCATTTTCCAATATGTTACCCATTTCTTGACGCGTACCCGGGTGGCTTTGCCACAGGAGGGTGGCATGACGCAGTACGACGCGGACCAAACGGCCCAGAGTGTGGCGGAGGACGTGGCCGGCGACAGCGGCATGTCCGGCACGGAGGCGTCACTCGAAATTTCAGATTTTTTGGGAAGATGTACATATATATATATATATATGTATGTATGATATATATATATGTATGATATATATATATATATTATGTCCAAATATATGTGTATTATAATATTATGCAATATTATATATACATATATCTATAAATTAATATATTGATATTATATATTAAATTTATGCCAAATGTAAAGTGTAGGGGATATATGTGCGTAGTGTAAATATAACTCTTGTTACATATGGTCAGAAGAAACACACACACACACACGCACACATGTGCTGTTGCACACTTTAATCTAGCAACCCTGCACTGCTGATGCATCATTATATATACATGGACATGGAAGAAGAAATCAACAAAGGCCAATCTGTACCTCCACGTAAACCAGAATTTGGCCATGATGGCCTTAAGGCTCACTTTGAAAGGTTGACCATGGGCTTCACGAATTCTTTGGGAAGTCACAACCTTTGGGATTTGCTTTCTTTGACCTTGCCACTTTGAGGCCCCAGCTTCTTTTTTAGGTTTTGAGACTTTGGGAGTTGTTATCTACGTATGTCTCCAAGCCATGCCCAACTGCCCAACTCCATGCCGGGGTGTCTTCACAGGCGACTGCGGCGGCGGCTGCTGCTGCGGCAGTGGTTTGGGTGACCCAGATATCAGCAGAGGTCTGTTGTGAACGGAACTGTTGCCTTTGCCAAGGGATGTTGCCATTCCAACAGGATCATTTGATACCGTGTTGACGTGTCTGTCAAGATCCACCCAGTAGGGATGGATGTATACACCGTATGAATTCTTGGTGGGAAATCCGCAGCTTTCTTCGATGAACGTATTGTGATTTCTCTTTTCGGTGGATTACTCCACAATCTCCACGTTTTATTGCCCAAACCACCATTCTTTGTTGCTTTAATCCAAATTCTTGGTCACAAGAGCCTCATGCTTGCATAGACCCATTCTTGTTGGGTTAACTCCCCATATTGATGGAGGTTGAGTTTCAAAACATGGTTGCCGATCGTACCGCAGTTTTTGGCAGGTAGATCCGCCAAGTCTTGTGTGAAAGCCAGCAAAAATCTTGCTTGAACCGGCTTATGATAAATCTTTCTTTTTGATCCTTATCCCCTGTGTCTTTACCAGTCAAATTCCCAATGTTTGATCCTGATCCATTGCTTTTCTCCCGGTCAACTCAGCCCAAATCCTGCAATTTTCGGAGTAGACTCTACCCATCCCCGGCCCACAGGTGCATGGCTTGCCGTTGCCCACGGGTAGCACCCCTGTGCCTCTGCAGCCTCCGGTGCTGGAGCCCGGTCCGGTGATTCTGCCGGCGGGCCCTGGGATGCCGGGGAAGCCGCAGGACGGGGGATGGGGGGAGGCTCATGGAGGCTCCAAAAATGGGACCATGGGACCTGCAAAAACTGGGGACTTCAGAAACCATGGATTTTTACTGAAGGATTCAGGATCCTCAAAAGAGGGAGTGAAGCATTTTGGCCAACTCCAGATTGTGCCAAAGTGATGGTTTTAGCTGCGAAAGCAAGGCTTCTGTTTTTTTTAGTCAGCAACTTACTTTTGCTGTTTATAGACGCCTGCATTCAATCGGTTCTGTCATTTCCGTGACTTTGGTATCCCCAATGAGTCTGAAAATGGGGTACAGCCGGAATGGCCACAGCTGCTCTGGCCTGGTCACTCTTAGTATCCAGGTGGCCACACTCACGGAGAAGCCCACTGAGATAATAGAGGCATGGTGCGGTATGAGAGACAGGGCTGTGGTGGATGAGGATGATGAGGATGATGAGGATGAGGATGAGGATGAGGATGATGATGATGATGATGATGATGAGGATGAGGATGATGATGATGATGATGAGGATGATGAGGATGAGGATGAGGATGAGGATGATGATGAGGATGATGATGATGATGATGATGATGAGGATGATGATGAGGATGATGAGGATGATGATGATGATGATGATGATGAGGATGATGATGATGATGATGATGAGGATGATGATGATGATGATGATGATGATGATGAGGATGATGATGATGATGATGAGGATGATGATGATGATGATGATGATCGCCACATTTGTTGTGAATGGTTTAAACCCTTCCCGCTGATTTCAAGATGGCCACTTTCTTTCGTTGTTTCCAAGGGATCCATGATACCCACCACTCACCAATTCACTTTCTGCTGTATTGTTTTCAGCAAGCAACAGACAAAACAAATCAACTTCAGGCTGTTGCCGAGGCAGTGTATCCGAACAACCAAAGACTTCCATGGTGATCTACATTGGCTTAGAATCAACATACCCTAATACCTTCAGAGCTTTTATGAGATCTTGTGCCACCCAGCAAAATTACTCCATTGCAAATAGGATGACCAATACGCAACGTAATCAAAATATCATATCTAATATCATGTAGATACATACATACATACATTACATAACATTACATAACATTACATAACATTACATAACATTATATAACATAAAACAACGTTACATACATAACATAACATTGCATACATAATATTACATACATAACGTTAGATAGATACATACATACAAACATACATACATACATACATACTTACCTACATACATACATACATACATACTTACCTACCTACATACATACATACATACCTACGTACGTACGTACGTGCGTGCGTGCGTGCGTGCGTGTGTACGTACGACGTACGTACGTACATACGTACATACGTACCTACGTACCTACGTACCTACGTACCTACGTACCTACGTACCTACATACCTACATACCTACATACCTACATACCTACATACCTACATACCTACATACCTACATACCTACATACCTACATACCTACATACCTACATACCTACATACCTACATACCTACATACCTACATACCTACATACCTACATACCTACATACCTACATACCTACATACCTACATACCTACATACCTACATACCTACATACCTACATACCATTACATTAGATTACATTAATTACATTAGATTACATTACATTAGATTACATTACATTAGACTACATTACATTAGATTACATTACATTAGATTACATTAGATTACATTACATTAGATTACATTGCATCAGATTACATTACATTATATTACATTACATTAGATTACATGACATCCATACATACATACATCCATACATCCATCTATACATCTGCATGCATACCTACATGGTTTATCCGCACAAAGTTCCCCATACGCTGATTTTGTTGGTTGAATCCCAAATTTTATCGCAATTTTCTCCTGGTTCAGTCCCACACCTGTCAGGTCGAATCGCCGATTTGTTGGTGGCTGTCTTCACTTGGTTTAAGGGAAGTTTGACAGTCACCCAACATTTCATGGGGAAAACCCATGGTGTCCGGTTTCGATTTTCCCTTCCAAACGATTTCATCACCCATTTCTAGCTGATTTTCCCTAAAGTAGACCCTCCATTTGATAGATTTTTATAGGAGTTTTCCCAGCCCAGCCACCAAAATGGGCTGCATTTCCAGACGGCGCCGGGCTCGCGACCGGTGGTGGCGGTGGAACCTCCAGTGACGCCTGCGGTGCTGACGCCACCGAAGCCCGTGCAGCCGGAGAAGGTGGAGCGGATGTGGGGAAATTTTAGCACCAAACAATGGGATTACCATAGAAATATGGGATTAATATGGGTAAACCAATGTCATAAACCACCCATGACTGGGAATGTAAACATTATTGCTCCACATTACTAGGATATGAGTTCATATCTTGTATTGGAAAGGTTATATTGCTCAACTGTTTTGTGGAACCCTGCCAACCAGCAGACAACATCAAGTCTTGGATGATATGGGATTAGTAGGATTTAACATGGTTTAATCAACCAAAAAGGATGATTTTGGCACCAAACTATGGACTTAGTAGTAGTAGTAGTAGTAGCAGCAGCAGCAGCAGTAGCAGTAGGAGTAGGAGTAGGAGTAGGGGTAGGACTAGGACTAGGACTAGGACTAGGACTAGGAGTAGGAGGAGTAGTAGGAGTAGTAGGAGTAGTAGTAGTAGTAGTAGTGGTAGTAGTGGTAGTAGTAGTAGTAGTAGTAGGAGTAGTAGTAGCAGTAGGAGTAGGAGTAGGAGTAGGAGTAGGAATAGGAGGAGTAGTAGGAGTAGTAGGAGTAGGAGGAGTAGGAGGAGTAGGAGGAGTAGTAGTAGTAGTAGCAGTAGCAGTAGCAGTAGCAGTAGGAGTAGTAGGAGTAGTAGGAGTAGTAGGAGTAGTAGGAGTAGTAGGAGTAGTAGGAGTAGTAGGAGTAGTAGGAGTAGTAGGAGTAGTAGGAGTAGTAGGAGTAGTAGGAGTAGTAGGAGTAGTAGTAGTAGTGGTAGTGGTAGTGGTAGTGGTAGTAGTAGTGGTAGTAGTAGTAGTAGTAGTAGTAGTATGATTTAATAAAATTGATTTAATATGATTTAATATGATTTAATCTCCAAACAATGGATTTAATGTGGGATTCACACCCTGGCCATACACAACTGCCCAGCCATGATGTGCTCCTCTTGGCGGGGTACTTCGCACTGTAACTCTGGATCACAGCATGGCCATCTAGTCACATATGGTCTTAATTTTTGCAAACAAACAAACGTACCCTCTGGTTATTTAACATAGCCATGGTATAGATGGCCCATTTATAGATGGTTTACCTATCAAAAATGGTGATTTTCCATGGCTATGTTAAATAACCAGATGGTACATTTAAGCACGCAATTGGGATTTCACACCAATCAAACACGTTTCTTTTCGGGGAAATGGGACCCAGCCCAAAACTGGGACATTTGCCGAAAAAACACATGTTTTGCAAACCAACTGCGGGGATTTAGCGCAACAAGATTGAACATCTCCCCGCGGGGAGTGAACCCACCTTTGGGGGAGATCACCTTTGAGGGGTTGAATCATCTCATGGATATGTTGGTAGTTGTAAGCTGTTCCATTCCTGAGAAACATGGATGTGTGGCAGACATGGGCACACGGGCACATCTACAAACTGGCCGTGGTGACCAAAGCGTTTACAACTGGGGTATCCAAGTGGGCAAAATCAAAGCTATCAATATGGCTATGGATTGACATCAGAAATCTCTTGGATAGATATCCTGAATCAACAATACATCTATAGACACTAATCCCTCTTACTAAACCCCCCCAAACAAAAAAAACTAGGGTCCGTCTCCAATTTTGGAAAATTTGAGGTTGGCCAATTTGATTTTTAATTGATCCCCTTTAGAAACCAATTTAAAAATGAAACTACCATTTCAGGGCTTCACCCCCTAATAATAAAAACAAGTCAACCCCGGGGTGTTTTTTATTTGGGTCCGTCTTTTAAGGTCGAAAAAAAAACGTATTTTATATTAAGGTTTTCAATTTAATATTAGGGAAAAACTTCGAAATCCAATTTTTGGCAATATTTTAATTAGATTTTAAAAGGAAATCTAATCGATTTTGAAATAGAACAAAATCGTTTTTTATATTAGGGTTTTAATCTACTATTAGGGGGAAGCTTCGAAATCAAATTTTTGGCAATTCTTGGCAATATTTTAATTATATTTTAAAAGGAAATCTAATCGATTTTGAAAAATAAAAAAACATATATTAGGGTTTAAAATTTACTATTGGGGGGAACCCTAATAATAAATACCCCTAATAATAAAAACTACCTGAGGTGTTTATTATTTGGGGGGTTAGTATTAGGGGGAAGGGATTAGATAGATGAAAATATAATTCGATAGATTTGTCCACGGCACAGAAGCGAACCAACCAACAAATTTGGTACAACCAGGCTTGCAAACTCCGGTGAGATTCGAGTACCACTTAGATGGGTTATCACCACCCTCGCAGGGTTCATATACCGGTTACACGGTAGAACGTATTGGAGTTGTTTTCCTTCCACAGCAGTAAATCGCTGGATTGGTTTAAGGGAAAATCTACAGTAAAAGTTTATATTTCATGGGGAAACCATGGTTTTCGGTTTTGATTTTCCCTTCAACCCATCGAACATCAGCCATTTCTAGCTGATTTTCTCCTTAAAGACCTTCCATTTATAGGGGTTGTCCCAGCCACGTTTGATTAAAACATATCAAAACCACCAGTCAATAAGCTCTTGACTCTTGACTTCCGGTGCGAAGGTGGATGTGCAGATCCTGCCACAACCCATCCCTCCTGCAGCGCAGGCTGCGGGAGTCTCGTGTTGCACTATCATCAACCGAACCGAACCACACTAATCTTGGGATGAGTGGTGGTTAGGAGGTGGAAACCACTAACCAAACAATTATACACAACTATAGAGATGTATGTATATATATATTTTTTTATGTGCACAGCAACTAGCGGTAACCTGGTGTATGGCGATGGGTCAAAATCATCTCCCGAAATAGATGGTTTCATACTGAGAATGACTTGTGGGCCCATTCGTACCTAGCCCCAATTTCGACCCAAACCCAGATAGCACGATTTTTCTTCAGCAAGAAGTTTCTTCCTGTGAAATTCATGGGATGTAATATCTAATGATGGAAATGCCAATATCCACACCCAAGGCGGAATATCACCAACGGAAATGGGATTTCATCAAGAAAAATGCTGGAGATCTTCACTAGGCATTGCTAGAGAAGTTGGGGGTGGTCATGGAGAATTAGGGAACTCGGCATTTCTGTCCCTTTGAAACTTTAAATTTCTGACTTCGTGCATCTTCCTCCCTGTTTGATTTTCCAAGAAACCCACGACTTGGCAAATGTCGTAACTCTAGAATGGAAAAGAAAACTGGATATCATTCAAACTTTCCGTTTGAGATGCAATCATCCATTTTAAATCCTAGTTTTGAATCGTTTTTCCACATCCGGACATGGCATCTATAAATCATCATCCTTCCATGGGTCCATGGGGGATCAGGCATTATTGAAAAAACATATCCATTTGCAGCCTACAATGTGGTGCCCCATAGTTATAAGTTGGTTTATAAGCCCCAGTAACTATAGTTATAAGTACCATAAACCATAGTTATTGGAGTTATAAACCAACTTAGCTATCTTGGAGGCCTCACATTGTAGGTATCTAGGTATTCATGACCAGGGCTCTAGCTTTGATAAAACCGCTGCACGCCTTGGTATATGAAGGGCAATCCCACTGCTGAAGCTGCTGTAGCTTTTAAGTCTCAATTTTTAATAGCCTTTTCCAAAGGCTATTTCAGAGATAACCTTCCACTTGATATATTACCCTCCGGTAAATTCACATAGACCCCGAAGATCAACAATTCTTAAACATAGACCTTGAACTAATCATCCGCTAACAGGTGTTTAGCAGCCACTGCTCACCTTATTTTGGGAAATTTTGCATCGTTGAGATTCAACCTGCTGTTCTAAAACGTCTACAGTAGCCAGGCCGGAATCGAGGCTGCAGAAGCCAAGAAGGAGCAGGGTGCAGATGTGCATCAGCAGGTGCGAACCAACAAAAAATGCCGGTGGGATGGGAGGTCCGAAAAAACACATGGGGATTGACTGGGATTGACCTATTAAAAATAGGGATTTACTGGGATTGAACTGGCCAAAAACGGTGATTTGATGGTTGAATGGGATATTCATGGGTATATGTTTTGGAATACAACTGCCCAGCTATATCCAATTTGGGTTTGTCTGAACCTTGGGGACACGCCCAGCTGAGGAAATTTTGAGATAGATATGCAAAACCTATGGTTTTCCAAGGAACATGATCTGAACATGGTGAATTTTCCATATATCTGGACTAATGCATACGATAATTCTTGGGATTTCTACTGGTCGAATCCCTGTTGGAATTGCTTGATCTCAATTTTCGGTCATACATTTTTTTTTCCTCTAAGCGTTTAAATCATCAAGTGGTTGTCTTGAAATTTGGGAAACCCATAAACCCCTGTTTTCTCAACCAGGCTGTGGCCGCAGCGGGCGCCACTGGATCCTATGTGGCTCGACTCAGCTTGACTGGCGACCCGATGATTTGATGGTTCCTAGGGGAATGATGTCAAGTTGATCCATCAATTCACTTTTTTTTTCCTCATCGAAACTGTGTGGGACCTGGCAAGTTCGGATTTTTTTCGACTTCGGTTTTTTTCACCAAGCAAAATGCGCATGCTTTGCGTCGTCAAAAAAACACCCAGATCTGTGGGATGGGCCTGAAATTTGACCCATCCCATGGGTTTCTGGCTCCGAATTGACAAAAAACCAGTCCGCCACTGGTTAAGCACCCGCATGTTTCCATCATTTTTTTTTCCCAGCTATATACAATCATATACATCAAAATCCAGTTCAATCCAATGACATTTGTGGGGGTCATCACATCCCCATGTCTTGCAGCTCGACCCCATCATCGCTGAGAAACTCACCATGTTTCGTCCATCTTTTGAGGAAGTTGGAGAGGAAAAGACCCAACAGGAGGCAAAAGATATGGCCACACAGGTGTGGCGCAAACTGGGGATGTTTGACCCTTGGGCAATCAAAGATGGCTAGCTGGGAAATCCAGCATTTATGGCATTTTTTTGGTGAATTTTTCCCAGCTATAAACCTCCATTGAATTCAGGGATTTCCCAGCTAGCCATGTCTGATTACCGCGAGGTGACCAGATCCGTGGGCTCTCAAAAATGCGGTGTTTCGCTGCTAAAAACATGGCAAAACTCAATGGCTCCCACATTAGATTTTGACACATACTCATCTGATGTTACTTGCCTAGCAAACTGTGTTTTTTTTTATAGCCCAACTGCAATTTGGAAACACTGCCTGTGGCAGGGTCTGGGCTACACCGGAGACACTCGCCAGGTGGCAGAATACGTGGCGCATAAGGACAGCCTGCCCATCGACGAGGTGGTCGACCTTATCCCTGAAGTCATCCCTGTACATGTCCAAATTATGTTATCCAAAACGCTAAGGTATGATCATGATCTAATTTGAAGATGTAGAGATGACCATGTCAGGGTTAGGCCAGGTATTTGGAAGTAAAACTTGGAGGTTAGGATTCCAGATTTTGATGACCGCCCCCGAGCCAGTCTTGAGGCCAAGGCTGAGGCTGAAAAGGCCGTGGTGCTTGGAAGCCCAAAGTGAGTTTTGGCGGGTTGGTGGACAACTGGGCTTGGCCAAATGGTGGTTTCAATGGTTTGAGACGAGGAAATTTAGCACGAAACCAAAGTCTCTCAAAGCGACCGAAACTTGCGGGGCCTGTCATGTCCTACCCCCTTCGATCGCCAAGGGAGGCGATCAAGGCCCAAGGGGGCCAATTTGCCGGGTGGCCGAGGGTGCCCAGGTTTTGACCATGGGGAAAGCCCATCGATGTCGAAGATTTTGGATGATTTTGGATCCGATATGATCCGACAGTTCAGGAACTCACTGGGCATGGACCTCCAAAAGCTCAACGGTTCAATGGCACCAAACCCTCAATCCCCCTACAGGCCATTGTTGACAGCATCAATTCCAAGCCAAATGATAACATCGGAAACATTTAGAAACCGGAAAGAGAGCAGTGACAAGTTTGAAGGCGAGGCTACAAATTGTGACCCCAAGTATCAATCGTTTGGGGACGATGAATCATCACAAGTATGAGGATACACAAGAATAAACCACCATTTGGGCATGCTGGCTTACTATCAAAACTATTGCATGTCGTATCCGCATTTCCCATACATTATATACATATTGGGTCAATATCCCATATTTAGTTTGGAGAGATGCCATAATCATATCCCGAACATTTTTTTGAACTATGACGACTACAGTCCAATGTAGATTCCAATTAAGCAAATCTAAATGGTATCACATAGATAAATATAGATATACCGATATACCATATCTATCCACAAGACATCCCTTTTTTATCACTATCCGACAGCTAGTCTCAAGGTGAATCCAAAGATCGTGCCGCCTGTGCCAGACAGCATCAAGGTGTGGCTGTTTGCAGCTCCGGGAAAAGCATCCCGGGCGGGGAAGCCATCCCAAAGTTAGTGATCACAGGTCGATGATTTCATAAAAAAATGTTTAAACATTAAACATCATTAAACTATGTTCAGACTGTATTTCTATCCACCTGTGAGATCCCCTGAAGATCCTGTGACTTTATGCTTTTGATTGAACAATGGTACCCCTTTCGCACCATCCCATGCTGTGGGCCAATGGTGTGAAAGACTGATGCATATTCCACTTCAGCAATGCCGGCCACCTAGCCCAATTCTTCGCGACCTTCCCCAGTTCCACATATCACCTGCTGGTTCAATCATGTTAGATCATTCTGAAAGCACCATGCGATGATAGGCATTTTTCAGAGATCACCTGCTTGATGATCCCCGATTTTGTCACGACCAGGTTCATCAGAGGGACATGAAGAATCCGGGTCAGGACCTGCAGGGCTTAAGCGAGCTTGAAGCAGTATGAATGGCTTGCATCTGTTCTTAAAGGGGATGCGAAATCAACTTCTGCAGAAACAAAAACAGGTCCAACAACCTTTGCCGCTGCCAGCTTTCAGTCAAATTTTCAGTCCATACATTTATAGAACTTGCCATCGCTTGAACTTGCGCCCACATTGTGGCAAGTCAATGGCACTTAGCCAGGACTGTTGGGCTGCTTGCGGCTCGAAATCTGGTTATTGCCCCACCTTTTGTGGCATTGGCGCATGTTGGGTGCCAAGTGGACAGGAAATGGCCGATTTTGAGATTGCTTGAAAAATATCATGTGGTAAAACCAATAACAAACATGACTTAACATAACTTAACATAACTTAACTATAGACATAGTAGACTTGGTAAACCATCTCCAAGATGACCTTTTATTGATGGGTACCATCAGTCAACTCGAGGTCCCCGTGGTCAGTGGTCCCTCAGGTTGCAGGAAGATGGAGAAATCCCCTGTCCCAGAGTGCCAAAATGTGGGGCTCCACAGGAGCCACGCTGCACGCTGCATTGAAATAGCCTCCGGTCATGAAATGGGGCTGGGAAATCCCCCTAAATATATAGTCTTTAATTAGTAAAATCATCTATCAATGGGAGATTTTCAATTGCCATGTTTGATTATCAGAGGGTATTGTATGCTTTTATTTTCAACCCTAGAATTGGATGAACATAGGGATCGGGTCTCTGTATCGAAGCACTATACAGCAGATTTCGTGAAGAACATCTCAAGTTTTGAAGATTTCTTTGAGTTGACATTGTGAGTGCTTGGGAAACAACATGGGCAACCAATAGTGACTAGTGCCCACTCCCTTCTCGCACAGTCTGCCGAGTTCTGAATTGGCCACCGCAGATCTTAGAAAACATGATTCAGCGAATGCATGTTTCCACTGGAGCTTCAAATGCTTTAAAACCGGCGAGGGTATGACCATGTATCACCCCTTGGGCTTCCTAGTCCTAACCATGCTCCTTCTCCACACATGGTGGGACGGTTCTTCCAGGATCTTTGCTAAAACACCTCGCGGAAAACCTTGCTTTGATTGGTCGATGTTTTGCAAAGGCGACTTTTTTTTTTAATCTCAAAAGGCCCATCCTTGGCATGTGCTCCATCGGAGTTCATCAATCCATTTGTATATTGACGGAGATTTCACTACCATTTCAAGCAAATTTTTCCACCATTGTTAAGGCAACCCGCAAAGATATAGAAACGTCACATCCTACTAAAACAATATTAATTCATATTGATACTTTTCCATCTTTTTGTGAAAGGCTATATCCTGTATCATACCTGGCAAATGACCTGTTTCCAATTTGCCAATCTTGGATACCACAAAAATATTTGGTACCCCCAAAAAATCACAGAACAGCCATTTACCATGATTTCGCTGTTATTTTTCCTCAAAACTCGACCTTTTCTGCAAGTTGCTATGGAAAAAACCCATGGCCCTCGCCACAACCATCAGCTCAGGCGTCCAACTCCGAGCGCTATGAGTGTGTGGCGCCTGCCAACGTCTTCCCCGCCGTGCGAAATCGCCAGGCTGGTGCTGAGCTGCAAAGAGCCCTTGTTGGTTGATGGCTTTAGGGGGTCACCCTCTGGTAAACATACAAACAACTATGGGTAAATCCACTATAAATGGGTAAAATCAGCATTTTGAATGGGCAAATCCACTATAAATGACCAAAACTATGGAACATCAGCATTTTTAATGGGTAAATCAACTATTTCTATGACCATTTTCAATCGGTTTTTGTATGTTTACCAAAGGGTTATACTAGCCAATCAATTGGGAATTCTCGCAATTCTAGGAACCATTTCACCCGTTTTTTTCTGGGAGGTATTATATATTTTTTGGGGAAACTGGGATTGACCGGCTGGATTTTGGATCCAGTTTTATGGATGGGAATCTCCGGCTTTATTTTCTTCACAGCTGGAATTAACATCATGTCTCACGCCAAGAACGTACTTCTGACACCGGATGCACAGTCCGATGCACAGTCAAATGCACACATAGTTACTTAGTTCTCGAGCAGCAAGTTCAGTGTGTGACACAGTTTTTTTTGCCCACAAAGGACCTCTAAGCGCGGAAAAATGCCTGTACTTTTGGGCTTTGGTCAAACTTGGACCTTATATGTCGACCCATAACCAGACATCCAGCCAGCCACCAAGACTTGCCAAGGAGGGAAGATCCACAAGATTTGGGTTTTAACACCATGTCAAAAAATCATTTGTTTCCTTTCTTAGGAATATACAACTGTCCCCCCCAAAAATATTAAACACCCATGACTAAGATGGTTTCACTTCGAAGCTTTTTCTTCAACATGTCCCTTAAATCCATTTTCATCCCCATTAGTATCCCATGACTATCCCTAGTTTTTCACCACATAAAACAGCAATAAATCTCCATAAAAGCCCATCACAACACGGTTTTTAGGCCGATTCCAACAGCACCTTTCTGGTGGTGGATGCGGGACCTGAGACGGTGGAGGAGGGTGTCCAGGGGGTAGGCATTGGATTTTGGATGGTGGCCGGGAGGCTCGGTGAAGTAGCATCAAGTCTGGGGGGAAATGGATGGAAATGGGTGGTATATCCATCCAGATATTGATCAATTGATATCCAGATATTGGTGTATCTCATCATATCCGAATGATTATCCGAATCAATGGTTATCATCAATCAATATCAATCATCATTTCCGAATGGTATCAGAAAAATGGTAGCATCAATGATATTGATGATTTCAATTCATGGGGATCTCAATGATTTCATATATTTCAATTGATCATGGTGATTTCAATGATGATGGATGGGGCAATGCATAACATGCTGTGGATGGTTGCAAAATCCTGCACCAGTTGGTAGATGGGCAAAATCCGATGATAATCCCGTAATAATTACAGTGTTGAATTGTGTTACCAATAGGAATCCCAACTGGTGCAGGATGGCTTGTCTATCCACAGTATCTTTGGCATATACAGCACCCTTCGGCAATCAAATATGGCTATTGGAATCCCGGAACTAAATGGATGTTTCTAGGTTGGAAAATAATCTATAAATGGTGGATTTTCCATTGCCACCTTTGCTTACCGGAGGGTAAATCCTCCATTAAAATTCATGATGTCCCCAAACCCAAACATTTCATCATGATATAAAAACACACAATCATATCATCCCCCATTTTAGATACAAGGTGTTTGGAAAACCAGGAATCTTAATCCAACATGCTAGAAACATGTTCATACTTCGGTTGAAAAACCTATTGTTGGACATTTATATCCTTTGAATTGTTGTATTTAATGTGTAAAACTCAATAATAAACCTACCAGTTAACCACGGTTTTTACCAACCATGTATGGCAATACTGGGCATGGTTCATAATTGCCACATTATACCACATTCAGGAACTGGTTGAAAACCACAGATATGACCCAAGATAAGTGGGAGAAGCACAATTTTTTCGAACATACCAAACAGGATGGCAAAGCGTAGACGGCATGGGGCACAATGCTTGGCTCATTTGGGGATAAACCTATCAAGAACACAGGAGACCTGAATTTCCAGTGTCTCTCGCACCCCAAATTCTCTCTATCTCTTCCTGGGTGATGTGGCCAATGCATGCCGATGCATGCTGATGATTGGAATGGACCAAAGGAACTACCAAAAAGATGAGCATTATGTCTAATGTGGGTAAAACAAGAATAAACCATCCCCCAGTCATCACTATAAATTTATAGGTGGTATGGTTACCATTTCCAGTCATAGCTGATTTATGGCATTGTTTTACCCACATTAATCCCATATGAGCAAATCCTACTAATCCCATATTATCCAAGACGTGATGTTGTCTGCTGGTTGGCAGGGTTTCCACAAAACAGTTGAGCAATATGACCTTTCCAATACAAGATATGAACTCATATCCATTCGTAATGTGGAGCAATAATGTTTACATTCCCAGTCATGGGTGGTTTATGACATTGTTTTACCCATATTAATCCCATATTTCTATGGTAAACCAAGAGTTTGCACTCCAAGGGCTTGGCCCTGGTGCTGGCCTGTCTGGTCTGTTGTGGAGGTGGGGAAAAGAAGAACGCTTTCAACATCGACTGGAGTTTTTGAACGGGATTTTCATGGTGATTTAATGGGTTTTAATAGTATTTTAATGGGATTTAATGGGAATTACTGGTGTTTCACTGGGATTTAATTGGATTTTGATGGGATTTAATGGGAATTACTGGTGTTTTTAATGAGATTTAATTGGATTTTGATGGGATTTAATGGGATTTAGTGGTGTTTCACTGGGATTCCATTGGATTTTGATGGGATTTAACTGGGATTTACTGATATCTTAATGGTGTTTTACACGGCTTAATGGGATAATTATGGGATACAAAGTCGGGATATGAATGGATCTACCCTCTGGTAATCAAACTTGGCTGGCTATAAACTCCCCAAACAAAATGGAGGTTTGATAGCTGGGAACATCACCTGTCTTTCTGGGAGATTTTTAAAATCTTTTTGGCCAAAACAAACAGTTGACCCCAACCACGAGTTAAACTCATGCGCGGTTTGTTGGTGCTGATGGTTTGTGTTGGTGGCTCGAAACCCCATGAGCCCTCATGACATCGACTATTTCTATGGTGAGGGTCCAGATTTCATGCCAACAAGCCAAAGCACCAGTTAGGTGTGCTGCCTACATTGAGGCTTTTCATCCCAAAGTTGCGGAGAGCGCAGGGGTTCAAGGTATTTCTGCATTCCGCATGTCATGACGCACCATTCAGCACAGAACTTTTTGACTTTTCCCCTTGCTACCTTTAGTGCCTTCGTTTGCGTTTCTGTTTTCCTCGGCACGGGAGCGAATCTGTTCCCTTTAAATTCAGAGGATGCAAACTGCTGCAGCCACTTCGATGGTGAATAGTGGAGTCCTGTAGGGCTGGGGTTGAATTTGAATTTTGGGTCGGACCACAGGCGGGATTTGTTTAGATCTTTGAAGTGGCCCTTCAGGTTTCTTGGTGGGCCAACATGAAGAAGTGCAGGTGTTGTCCCATGTTGTACAAGTTTATATCTCTGATGCGAATGGTTTGAACATGAGTAAACCAGCTATCTGCAACTGGGACAAATTTGGACTTGAATGGAGTTATGTGTATATATATATACATATCCACATTCCGTTGTTGACTATGCGAATTTGGTTGGCTAGATCCCACATTTGCCTCATGGTGAACTATGGCTCCATGTTTCGTTGGCTATATCCCAACTATGACATCCGAGTTTTTGCTTGTTTACTGTCCCAAAATTGGTGATATACCAACTGTTGCTTTGTTCTAGTTGGAATCTCCAGTTCTAAGTGGACACATACAACATCATACAACTACAGTTGTAGGTTCTATCTCAACTTGTGGGCTTGACAACCATGGTTGTAGCCATGAAAGCAACGTCAACTGCCAGGCTGGTGCCTGTTTTCTGGAGCCGAGAAGAAGAGCAAGGGACAGACGCGAACAGCGGGAGCCGAGAGACTCAGATGAGTGACCACTTTGGTCGATGGATGGTTAAATAATGGGGGTTGTACCGGGGATATTCACCCCAGAAAATGCAACCCAGAAAATGCAGGGATGTAATGGGATATGGCAGTGTGTCAAAACCTTGTACCCCTGTAGTTCACATCAAAATAGCTGGGTTAAAATGGATGTTCATCCCATTAAAAATGGTATTAAAATAGGTATTGATCCATACCCATATCACTGGTGAGCTAGTGAAAATGGTGCTTTGACACCGTTTTTCAGGGAACGAGGTTCTTTTCCCCAGAGTTAGGCTTCGACCCGACCATGGTGCAATGAGCCATGCAGATTTTCACCCATCGGATCCATCGGGATTCGGTGGCTGGTCATTAGGGCGACGCAGAAATGGCTGGGCACTTTTTCGACATTTTCACCAGGTGTTGGAAATTTTGGGGACTTGGGACAAACATTTTTGTATGAAAAAACGACCAAGATGGCGTCAATTCTTTCCCCTTTGCATTCAAATGTGAACTTGGAATTCGACAAAGACGAGCAATTGAAGTTAGATGTGTCGCACCTTGAAATGCCATCATGAATGAACAATACTGAATAGTTGAGGGAATACAAGAGTTGGAACGATGTAAGCAAACACATGGTTGGCTAGTAGAGCAGGGAGGAAGATCTTTTGCTTCATCAGGATGATGATGACGACGACGACGACGACGATGATGATGATGATGATGACGACGACGACGAGGAGGGAGGAGGAGGACGACGATGATGATGCTGATGATGAGGACGACGATGTTGACGACCACCACGACGACGACGATGGCGTCGACGACGACCACGACGACCACTACGACGACGACGGCGCCGCCGACGACCACGACGACCACTACGACGACGACAATGAAGGTTAGTTAATAACATATTCAACTTTTGTGCGTCTGGAATAGTGGGAGATACTGCAACCATTTCAGTTCCTGGTAATGGTGAACTCTCCAAATGTAGTAAGAAAGGGAGGGCTATTTATTGGAGGAATTATTTTTGATAAGGTTTAGTTTTTTTGGATTCTTGCTTTTCCGCTGTTCCTGCTTCTCTGTTTCTCTGCTTTTCTGCTTCTCCGCTTTTTGATTTTCCTGCTTCTCTGCTTCTCTGCTTTTCCTTTTTTTGCTTTTCCTGCTTCTCTGCTTTCTGCTTCTGTGCCTTTCTACAGTCCGTCTACTTTCTTCTTTTTCTGCAGTCATGCGTTTTTGCTGCTCTACTTCTTCCTGCTCCTTTGCTTCTCTTCTTCCTTTCTTTACTGTCTCTTTGCCTTTCTTTTTCTTTTGCTTTATTCTCTCCTGTTTGTATCCTTAATGAAACCCTCGAGAAACCCTAGATGAAACTCAAAAGACACCCTCCTAAACGAAGCCCTACAGGCCCTACAGATACCCTAAATGACACCCCGGATGACACCCTAAATGAAACCCTAAATGAAACCCTAAAGATACCCTAAAGATACCCTAGATGACAACCTAAAGATATCTAAAGAAACCCACATTAACGTTTGAACTACCAACATGTAGCAAATACTATGCACGATGAGAGGTTGAAGTGCCCAAAATATAGCAGCAAATACTGTGCAAAATGGAAGGTGAACATGCTAAAATGTAGAAAAAATCCATGCAAAATGACAGGTTCCAGTTCCAAACTGTTGCAAATACAAGGCAAGTAGTACCAGGAAAGAAATCCCCCCCAAAAAACCAAACCTTATCAAAAAAAAAACTCCAAAAACTATTCTTCACCCTTGGGAAAGCATACAGCCGCGTTTTTTCAACAGCCCTTTTTCATGCTTTTCCATAGTTTCTTCCATTCTTTCTCATTGTTTTTCATGGTTTTGTTCCATTTATTCTTCATGGTTTGTCATCTTCTTTCCATGTTTTTTTTTCCCCCATTTTTCCATCTCTGGTTGGTGGTGTGAGTGTTTTACGGACGACACCCTAGCTCATCCCCTTAACTGCAGGGGTGGGGTAGTGGCCCGCCTGTCCGCCTAGTGTTGCACCCGGGTATTGAACCCGGGTCTGATGCATGAGGGATGCGTCTTATCCACTAGACCATACCTGCCTTCTTTTCTGGTTGGTGGTTTCAAATATTTGGATTATTTTCCATTTCATATATGGGACGTCATCTTTCCCACTGACTTTCCGCTTTTTCAAGATGGTTAAAACCACCAACCAGTTTTTCCTTTTTTTTTTTTTCCATTTTTTTCATTTTTTTTCATTTTTTCCATTTTTTGCATTTTTGTTCCATCTTCTTCATGGTTTTCCATCGTTTTTTTTCAGGGTTTTGGCCATGGTCCTTCCCAGCCCCAACGACGCAGTCACCCGCGGCCAGGTGATCGTTTCGAAATCCGACGGTGAAGACCTGGAGCTGCAGGTGCCGATGGGAGATGACGAATACCATGGCTTACTATGGTGCATATATATATATATATGTATATATATATATGTATATATGTATATATATATATATATGTATGTATATTATTTATATATGCATATATCTATGTATATTATATATATATACACATATCTATGTATAATATAGTAATATAATAATATAATAATATATATATATTATTTTATACTATTGAAAAACCATGTTAATACCATGATTTACCATGGGTGACTATGGTTTACAGTACTATGTTTATACTATGAATCATGGTACCAAGCATAGTATAAATCATAGTGTAAACCATCGCAAATAATAGCAAATACTTGTTTCTTCTGCAAAATCACTTGGGTGATTTACTGTATCACTAAAGACATTTCGATGAAGTAGCAGGTTTACCTATATTTGTATCTTCTTGAAAGCCACTTGTTTTGCTTGGTGACAATGTTGATGGTGAGATGACATCGATGATGGTGATCATCAGATGGTGGTGATCATCAATATCAACATCACCATGTGACCATATGAACGTATTTGAAATTGAGGTACATGCCGCCCAAAAGAAACAATTTTCATTGAACGAGCAATGATTAACACATGGATGTGGGGGGTACCCAATTTTCAGACGAATCCAACTCACGTTTTTGTTCGTGAATTTTTTATTATCCCCTTGAAACGCTTGGTTGACGGTCGTTTGTCCACATTGTCCCATGATTATGGTAATTTCATCCCCAAACAGGGGTCTGTTATGGGGTTTTCCACATTATATCAAATTATATTCATTGTTTATATAAGGATGTTTAAGCATTATTAACCATGTTTAACCAGTATTACCGATCATTAATCATTATGAACTGTTAACCATTACTGATCATTATTAACCATTATTAACCATATCTATAACCATTATGATCCATTAATTTACCAAACCACCAGCCAGCCAGTTATGGTTAGGTAAAATTATTAACCCATCACCATCCCCATATTAACCATTATTAACCATCATTATTTCTTGGCTTCCCCACATATTCCCATCACCGTTCGACGCGATCGGCTCAGCCAAGACGTTGCCAGGAGCCCCTGAGAGCGGCGAGCGCTTCGGCTCCTGTACCGGGCAGCCGTGCCATTGGTGAGGCCTTCCGACCTCGCCGCTGGCCGCTGAAGGATGGTCAGTTACCATCCCTCACAGTTACCACTTCTACAAAATTACATGGTTTACCCTCCGGTAAACTAACATAGCTATTGCAAATGGCCATTTATAGTGGATTTTCCCATTAAAAATGGTGATTTTCCATAGTTATGTTAAATTACCAGAGGGTATACCATAATAGTGAACATTTACAGATGGTATAAACCATCGTTGACTCTATCCTTTCAATTGAAAAATTCGAATTCATCCCCAATCTGTTACAATAAAATGGCAGAATTATGTGCTTACCCAATGTTAGTAAAGCAGAAGTAAACCATCCCCACATTTACCATTTTTATGGGTGGCATAAACCTTCAAAATATGGATGGTTATGATGTTGCTTTACTAACATCGGAGTGTTTCGTCTGGCTTTCTTGATATGAAATTGATCCAAGCAGACTTGTTTGGACATTCTTGGGTGCGTCATGGCAGGAAGGGGTTGACACAATTGAAGATGTTTGCTGCAGCAGGTATCGCGCAGTGTTACCAAGAAAAACTTGTTGAAATTGCGGAATACCAAAACGGGATTTCGTGTGGATCAGTTGCATAGACCAAACAGGAAACACACATCAATTTTCCAAGATGTTTTTGCGACAGGTCTGGGACGATTTCGATACTTCTTTGCTCCCCAAGACCTGGAAGAGCACCAAACATGAACCCAATTTTGGAATATTTTGGATGGTTAGATTCCTTTCTTGATTATTGATTACTGAATGACTAAATCCACCATTTCTCCCCCCCATAAATGCCATAGCCCCTCACCTGCCGCTGCAGGCCCCTGCCGCACCAGTGGTGGCACCCGCACCCGCGTGAGCGACGGGAGTTTTTTTTTTTTTTTTCGGGTCCCGGTCCGAACAAAATGTTCAGCTGGTTGGTGGTTTGGAACATGAATTTATTTTTCCATAAACTATTGGGGATAATCCTTCCCATTGACTAATATTTTTCAAGATGGTCAAAACCATCAACCAGTCAGGATGTTCCAACATGTTGGTTTTGGGATGTTTATTTTTGGAAGCGACTTTGTAGGATGGTTTGTGAGGTATGGCAGCAGTCTCAAGTGTCGATTTGAGTCGCTTGTCCTTTTCAAGCTTCACTGGGCGCAGGTACCGATATGTTGCTGGCTCTTCACAAGGCCTGGGGGCAGTGGTTTTCAACCAGAATCCGCCAAAAAAACACTTGTTCAAAGAACCTGAACTTAGGATGGTGAGGTTTATTTATATATATAATCTTGTCTTCACTTGATGTTCGGCACGCTTCAAGACAAGTCAACATATACACTTTTCAACTATAGAGATTTCCAAACATGTATACTTTCCAACTATAGACTCTTGGACACATCCATATCTTTCCACGTTCGCCATACACCAGGCTACATGGCTGCACCGCAGGAGCAGGTTCGCCCATTGGCAAAGGCAAAAAGACTCGTTGGGATTGGATGAACACTGGAAGATATAGGATAACATATTATGGGATTTTATGGGATTTTATAGGATTTAATGGGATTTTGACGATCAATGGGCATTTTATACCAAAACGGGGATATTAATGGGATACCCTCTGATAATTTAACGTTGGGCAAACTGGACATTTTTGAACCGTAAATGATCATTTTTAGCCTCTGTAAAGGGTCCATTTTCCATAGCTTTGTGAAATTACCTTTTGGGTACATATGGACATAGCCGTAGAGTTCACTATCCACATGACTAGATGATGGCTCCTTTCCATCCCCGGTGGATTCATGATCCCCTGTGGATGGATGGCATCAGATTTTTGAGGTCACATGGGTCTTGTGAAAATTGGGGAGTCAACTTGGATGATTTGGAACAGTTGGTTAGATTCGAGATCGTCGACATTTCTTGATTCCTCATGTACCCGTAACGGTGTCATCAAACGTGGGAACTCCGTGAATGGAGGTCGCCAACGGGCCCAATGATTTTGAACCCATAGCATGATTCGCCCTATTATAAAAAAAAACAAAACATAGAAAAACATGAAAAAACACCATGAAATCCCAGCAAAATCCCATTCGCATGCCACATCTCCATTCTTGGGGTACTTCAACTTCCCAAGCCATGCCAGGCCAGCTCGAGTGCTGCCGTGCGACCCATGGTGGTCGGGACGCCCCCAGTGATGGGATTTGGAGATGCGAAGCATGATGTGAATGTTCTTGGTATATTTAAATGTAGTTACCGTATATTACCGTATATATATATGTATATGTATATGTACATGTATATGTATATGTATATGTATATGTATATGTATATGTATAGGTACATAATACTTTATATAAAATATGATTGTACATGTATGGTTATGTATATGATTGTATGTATGTATGTATGTATATATATACACATCTACATGTGTATTTACACACATATGCATGTATATGTATATGTATGTATATGTATATACATATACACACATGTAGATGTGACCAACAACATTCGGTAGGAAGCCGATTACAACAAACGCGGATTGTCGTTTGTGTCTGAGACTCTGCCAAGCCCCATGGTTTGCCTCACCCCAAACGTACAACTTTATCTGGAGCATTTTTCCGTGAAAGGCATGCAGTTTATTGCGATATATCCCCCTCTGAAATTCAACATGCAGTGCCTGTTTGGTTCCTATCAGGGCAATTTTTAAAACCATTATTTTTAGCAAAAGAACCATTTCTTTGTGCACGTTTCGACTCGTATTGTTCATCGTTTGGGCTTTCCTGAAAATAGGATGCCCTCAAATCCACTAATTAATAGTCATTTTCTCATATTTTCCTTATTTTCATGGCCATAAATTGGGGTCAAAACCCATTTTCCGACGCACGCAATTTTAGATAATTTCATGACATTTCATGTATCCAGTCAAACCATGTTGAAACATCATTTTTCTTGGGAATGAAATCCTCAATTTACAGCGGGCGAACTCCAAAACAACGACTTTTTAACAGACCGAGGCACCTGCGAGGGCTCTGACAGCTCCGCAGGTCTCGATGGGTGTTCGATTCATTCCGGCCATTTCTGTGGGGAAGATGTCCAGAAATTTCCACTTACTCTCTGGTAATTTAACATAGCTATTGAAAATACCCCATTTATAATTGATTTACCTATTCAAAATGGTGATTTTCTATAGCTATGTTAGTTTACCAGAGGGTAAACCAACTAAAATGATTTCTATATACTGTAGGGGTTTGGATTCATTTTGTTTGATCTTTATAACATCTCAAAAATCTGTTTTTCAGCATCCAAAAGTCGGGGAGACAACCAACCATTTCATGGGATATGATGGGTTTGGACCCCCCAAAAACGGATGGGATACCCCCAAGTTGCCATTGAGAAATTGGGAGAATGATGAACCATGGATTTTGGGGGTACCCTCTGGTAAACCGACAGTTTGCGACATAGAAAATGGTCATAGAAATAGTCGATTTACTCATTAATAGCATGGTGATTTTCCATAGTTATGGGACAGTTGACCAGAGGGTATCCTGTTAGTAAAAGCCATTTTGAGGCCAAGGCCACTTCCAGGGCGGATCTGAAGCAGGGTAATTAATCAAACAGGGCTGATGCGAAACAACACCCCATTGAGTCCCATGCAAAATCCCCACTGTTGATATTTGTCGATATGATTCAATCTTCATTATATTCCCATTAAAAAATCCCCACTTGGATCATCTCACTTAGGATCCGTGATTAATTTTTACCTGGTTACTAGTCGTCCTGGTTCGTGGGTTATCTCATTTATAACTGGGTGAACTAAGCCCATTTACTAACCACAAAAATGATCCATGGGATGATCCTCCAACTGCCAAACAAATCAGTTAGCTATGCTTGGTGCTTTACAAACACCACAAACATTCATTAACATCCATTAACTATAGTTGACGTAATGGATAGTTTGTCAACTATCAACATATTGATAATAGTTAAGATGATGTCAAACATTAATCATACTTAACCATAGATAGTGATTAGAGCCATCCATTCATAGTTTGTGAAAACACCATCAACATCCATCAACCAAACATGATTAAAATCGTTTTTCCATAGGGATTCCTACGATCATTTTTCGCACGCTAGCACCATCGAATATATCTAATCTCTAATATATATATAGGTTAACCATAGATAGGTACCCAGCATCATAGGATTTCCATGATATCCCCACCACTATATAGGGGATATATAGGATTTCCAATTTCCCACCACCATGATCTCCCCAGGCTGGCCCCTGCGCACCTTGCCGAGCGGCCGCCTGGGACCGGTGACGGGAGTGGGACAACGGACGATTTTTCATGGCTGGAGGTTGAGACCGAATTTTTATGGAGAGTTTTTTCGGATTTTTAGGCCAGCCTTCACTTTCAAGGACATATTTCTCACGCCAAAGAGTGCGATAAGCTTGTAAGGCCAGGGCGCGACTCAAGAGTTCTTGGATTGAATTCATTTCCATGTAATTCCCAATGCAAAAACGGTGCAAAAACGGTGTTTTTGTGCGTAAGAGTCACCTTGTGAATTATGCCATAGATAGATAGATGGATAGATGGATGGATGGATGGATGGATGGATAGATAGATAGAACAATATTGAAACATAGATCAATAAACAAATCAAGCAATTAATCAAATCAATAAATAGATAGGTGGTGAGTGAATGTCAGTGACCAAACCAATTAAGGTCTGTCAATAATGGTCCTCCCAGAATCTGTGGTAGATTCAAGTGAAGCCATGGCACCTACACATCTCTGGTGAAAGTCATAGAGTCTTGGAGTGTGGGATTGGCATGGCACCACCAGATAGACTCGACACTATAAACCAATATTTATAAAGATCATCTGGGCGACCCAATAGTCACCAAAACTTTGTGATTGGAACTTTGAAAAACTTTGTGGTTTCGCGGATATTTGAGAAGATCTTGGGTCCCAGAAAAGATGGGAAAAACCAGCACCGAATCCCGCCGCTGTCATGCAGAGGCATTGTAGCCATCTTTGCCTCAAAATGGGATCGACATGTCGACTGTGACCCAGCAGAAATCGGAAAGGTCGTTGACTCAATATGGACATGGGAGTCAGAGTTTCGACATTCCAGTGTATGGCAACCTCCAAAAGATAGACGCGTACATATTATCACTCTTTTAGTAGTATAGGAATTGACTTTTTGATTTGTTTTGGGGGTTACTCCAACTGTTCCATTGTTCTAATTAATTAATTCAATTCAATCCATATCTCTATGTTAAAGGTTGATTCTTGGCGGTGACCTGGCACCTATCAAAACCGTGGTCTTAGCCGTGCAATGGTAGTTGCTATTCTAGGGGCATCAGATGTCAGATGAACTTTCTTCATCACGTGGACCCAGGATTCACAACAGCTGGTTGATTCTTCCATAATGATTGGATGCTACAAATAGGGAAAATTCAAATTCACACTACTATCGCGCCATGTTGATTTGGTGGTGGACAGGATTCCCCACCACACATGGGTAGCTACATATCACAGCCAGATGTCGTGACGGACGCCTGGCCCGGCACGAAGACATCCTGCGAAGAGATCTTGTCGTTGGTCTTGACCTCTTTTGACCGGTCTCCATTGTCGGTCCTGGAGCTCACTGCGTTGGCGGCTGCTAATCTCCACTTCTATCAACTGCAGTGGCCTCGATGTTCAATTCTTTTTGACTTCGAAAGTGCGCCTCCGGGCGTGGGGGCACGTGAGGATATCCTCGAGTGGAAGCTGGAAAGCTTGGGATTCAGGCTCCACCGCGCAACCGCCAAGGGCACCGTGGTGGAAGGAGCAGCTTCGCGCCTTCGCGGCTTTCGCGCATGGGCTGAGGAAGATCGATGCCGCGCCGCGTGGGCGCTTGCGGTTCTTTTACATGCATATGAGTTGGAAGAGTTTATAAACCGAGACTACCTGGTCCGTTTCTTGGCCGCCGGCCTGGCGACCCCAGCACCCTGGGCTTCGATGTCGACTGCCTCAGCCATGGCTCAGTTGGTCGGTGGATGCTACAGTACCGTCCATCACTTGCTGGCAGAGGTGGGTGCTACTGAGTTGTTGGTGCAGCTGGTTCAGAAAACTTCAGCTCCAGTGCAGCAAATGGCCCTGAAGGCCATCGCAGACGCTGGGGAATGGGCAAATGCAGGGGATTCCTTCAATTTCTCCAGCACCAATGTGATCCCTACAATCATCTCAATTGCCCAGTTCGGATGCTATCCGAACCAACGAGAAGCTGTGAGAGCCATTGGTTGTCTGGGCACTCTGGCCAACGGAAGCGACGCAAACCAGTTGAAGGTTGTCATCCCAGACGTGTTGAAATTTCTGGCGCACGAGCGTGATGAGATGAAACACGTGGCTGCTGCTGCACTGGTGCGTCTGCTGGCTGCGGGACAAGACTTTGTGACCCAAGCTTGTGAGCACGACTGCATCCCGAAGCTGATCGATGTTTGCTGGCGCGCCACAGGCTATCGTCAGCACATTCTGCTAGTCTGCCTGGAGCTCATAACCATCAGGCAGGCTTTCCGAATGATCGCCCTGCAGCATGGCATCCTGCCACTCCTGTTCCAAAGCCTGCAGGATTGGAATGACACGACAGAACGCCATCGACAACGGCCGGTCCTTGCCATGCTGCTGTGCTACCCCTATCAATGCAAAACCGCCTTCCTCCAGGAAACTCAGAGTCGCAGGACCAACGCCATCCGTCAGATGCTCCAGGTTGGTCTGCAGCCGGGCAATCCGAACATCGCTTCGGTGGAGGAAGTGCTGCAACAGCTGATGCCAGAGCTGTTGGAGCCAGACATCTTGGGGTACGGATAAAAAGCTGGTGAGCAGCTGGTGGCTTCAGTGCTTCCCAGATGTTTTTCGGGGATACAGATGGATACAGTATGATACATTAGGGGTCAACATTTGGAGGAAAAACATAATCTTCAAGTCATAGGACCACTACCACAGGATGGGTCTGTTTGATGCTGGCAGGAAGGCATGATTTTTGCCATCTGGCTTTGGCCGAAAATTCGCGATACCCCAAATCCACTGGTCAACCATCATCAACTAAAAAAACTTGGTATCCATGGGTATCCACCTTTGGAGAAGCCCTAACATCATGATCATCATGTTGTTGGTGATATCCCATCATATATTTGGAGAAACACAATATTTTTATATGGAGGTGATATATTTTGTTGGTACCCTCTGGTAAGCTAACATAACTACGGAAAATCACCATTTTCAGTGGGAAAATCCACTCTAAGTGACCATTTTCAATAGCTATGTTAATTTACCAGAGGGTAATATAATGTAATATGGGTATGGATCAATACCTATTAATACCATTTTTAGGGGAATGAACATCCATTTACCAGCTATTTTGATGTTCACCAGGGGTACAAGGTTTTGACACACTGCCATATATAAAACACTATATTTTTTTTTATATGGAACCCATTTTTTCCAGGATCAGTTTGATCGCATCGACACCAACCACGATGGCGTTTTGTCACGCGCGGAGTGGGATGAGGCGATGCAGGCCGGCAGATGGGGAATCGCCATTGAGCCATTGAACATACTCAAATATATAATATATCATATATCCTATAAATCATAAGTATCCTGAAGTATCCTCTGGATATCTTATAGATATGTAAAACTGGAATACATTGAAACCGACATTTATCTGATTGGGTCACAGGATAATGAAGACTTTTTTAGGATTTCTGGTTGGTTTTGGGAGACTTGTAGTAAATGTAAACATCAATGATATTTCTGGAGAGTAGACACCAAGCAGAAACCGTGGGGATCAACCATTGGGAATGATAAAAATCACCCCAGAGACTAAAACATACAGCTGTATATTAAGATATTTTTTGTATCCAAAGATCCATTGGATACAAAAAATCACCCCAGATCTTTAGATATTTTTTGTATCAAGTATCAAGTTCATTGCACCGGAAACGGGGAAACGGTCAAGTCTGGTGATTCTACTTGTATCTGGGGTGCACAAGTCTGACTTTCTGCCGGGAAAAAACTCAATGGTCAATGGGGGTCAACAGAAATTGAGACGACAGCCGGTCGGAATTTGTGGCCCAATGCTTCTGACATTTCACATTGGAGCCCTTGGCAATGGTTTCTTCAGGTTTGCAACACACTGTGCTGCTTCGAAGTGATGGCACAGCTGTGGCATGTGGGAGCAATCGCTTTGGAAAGTGCAACATCCCGCCACTGGATAAAGGAGTGTCCTACACCCAAGTTTCTGCTGGCGGGGATCATACAGTGCTGCTCCGAAGCGATGGTACTGCTGTAGCTTGTGGGACAAATAAGAACGGGCAATGCAACCTTCTATTTTTGCCAGAAGGAATGTCCTACACACAGGTATCTGTAGGCACATTTCATACAGTGCTTCTCAGAAGTGATGGCTGTGCTGTTGCCTGTGGATGTGATATCTTTGAAGAACGCCTCATTATCCCACCCTTGGAGGAGGGGATGACGTACACTCAGGTCTCTGCGGGTGAAGACTATGCGATTCTTCTCCGTAGGGATGGCCGTGCCGTGGCTTGCGACTCCAGTCTCTCAGCGAGATATAGACAATGCGACATGCCTCCTTTGGAGGAGGGTGTATCTTACACTCAGGTTTCTGCAGGCCAGCATCATGCGGTGCTTCTCCGAAGTGATGGCAGCGCGGTTGCTTATGCTACTTGCGGGGGATACAACCCTTACGGCACGATTCCACCTCTAGATGAGGGAGTGTGCTACACCCAAGTTTCTGCAGGCAATGATTATACAGTGCTGCTTCGAAGTGATGGCACGGCGGTGGCATGTGGAAGCAATCGCTTTGGGCAATGCGACATTCCACCTTTAGATGAGGGGGTTTCCTACACCCAAGTTTCTGCCGGTGGGCATCACACAGTCCTGCTCCGAAGTGATGGTACTGCTGTAGCTTGTGGGACAAACAAGAACGGACAATGCAACATTCCATCTCTGAAATCATGGGGTGAGTTCTTTTCATTTGCCCCTGCCAGCTGTCGCTACGTGCCCGACTGTGCACCACCCCGTACCGAGAGACGCGTTTTGCAGCTAGATTTGAAGCCTGAGGATGATGCTGTCCTGCTGATATGCTCCAGTTTGGCAGGGCAGGAGGTCTTATGCTTGAAGGTGCATGGAACTGACTTGGCAAAAGAAGTTCACCAAGAAATTGCGCGTGAACTGAAGCTTAAGCTCCAACATCTTTCGGTGGTCTTGCCTGATGGACAGCTGTTACTGTCAATCTGTAGTGCAAATCCAGGAGCGACAATTGTGGATGTGGCAGAGCAATGCAAATGCATCACTTAGGTTCCCGCAGGGCAAAATTGTGTTGCTGAGAGTCAACATGCATAGAACACATGACCTTCCTTCCTAGTCAAAGATCACGCAACAAGTACCCATAAGCTTTTCAAGCAGCAAGTGGTAACACATTAATTTCACGAATTTTTCATGTTTCCTGTAAGAAAATTCGTCAGCCCTTGGATTGTGTTTTGAGTTTTTTCTGAAAATAGGGCACCCCAAAATCTCATGGTTGATGTCATCACTTTCCAAGTGAAGATGGACATGTTTAGCACTGAAGTTGCAGCAGTGGACTGAGGTATCCCCCATTTTTGGGGCACACCCAAACATCATACTGCTGGCTATATATAATTACTATACATATCATATGTATGTACATACATCAAAACATACACATTCCATTAAACAAATCATTATTTATATTATATCCCAACAGATGCGATTTTTTTTTTCACATTGGTGAAACGGTGACCGAATTCTTCAAAGACCTGCCAGGCACCCCTGGGGCAACCAATGGTGGTGAACGCTCACCCCAGCGCTTCGCAGGATGGGTTCAGCTATGCATCAATGGGGAATTTACACAAACACTGGCAAAAAAAACATGAATACCATCGGAAACGGCAAGACATGAGGATTGTATAGGACTTTAACGAATCAACATTGGGATGTAGCCAGCAAGTTTGAGATAATCATCAAGAATTGGGATGTGAAGAAATTGAATCAACCTGGGTATGCCCCTGACTGGATGGTAAAATACAGTAAACATGACCAGCCAGGGGTCCATGGCCAGGAGAATTCTGAGCCATAGTCAGAAGATAAATCAAGTGGAAAGCTGACTTTGGCTATGGCTATGGTGGAAATAACCAGCCATACTTGAGCCATATGGAAATCACGATCTTTGACTTTGGGGGTGGAAGGCTAGTTGTCGCTTTCGTGCTTTCACAGACATTTAAGGACAGGTTTCATCCCTGAAAATGGGATGTTGGTATCCAATAACCAAATGGGTTGTCCAAATATACCCCACATATACCCCAATTCCAGTGGTTTCAAGTTTTACACCTGATATTTTTCCCACTGATGTTGAAATTGGCCATAAAGTGGGGCTCCCCCTTTTCAGATAATTTCACGTATTTCATATCTACTATGGTTGCTTACATGTACCCATTATGTCCCATGGTATCGTTGAAGTTGATCCTCCATTTTGTGGTTAGTATTGCTCTTGTTGCTATTACCGTTGTTATAAAATTTATAGTGTTATTTATTGTCATTACTATTATCATTATCATTGTTGTTATTATCATGGTCATTATTATTAGTTTATTGTTATTACTATTATTTATAACTATTATGACGATATTTATATATATATAATATATAATGTATATATACATAATATAATATATATAATGTATATATATATAATATAATATATACTATATAATATATATAATATATATATTATATAATATACACATAATATGTATAATAATACCATATGTATACATATAACGGGTCAGAACCATATATATGTATGTATACATATCATAATATCTTGTATATGTATATAAATACAGTTACTTCAAGTATTCTCAGCTTGAATATCCCTAGCGGTTTGCAGGACTCCTTTGTACCACGCCAGGCTGGACCTGGCTCTTGGGTTTTGATGGCCTCTGGATGTTGGACCATGGTACCCCCAAATCATCAATTTTTCTTTAGGATTTTCCATTATAACATATTATAACCATCTATTTTAAGTGGTACCCCGGTAGGTTGATTTTTCTGGAAACTGCGATTTGGTTGCTGGGCTTTTTCAAGCCTTCACCTCCCAATTAGCAACGGGTGCAAAAATTCCCCAAACAGTGTGTCTTTTTCTGTCACTGTTCCATAGCTACTGTTGCTGCTGTTGCTTGTATCTGATACATTTGATACATTGACTTCCTACCCACACTGTTTGGGGTCTCTTGCCAGTGTAATTCTGAAATGGACTCATCAACAGCCGATCCATTTGGGCCTCGCTTTGCTAAAGCCCATCCAAATCCGAGCCATGATTTACCAGCCTCAGGCTGGCCATGTCGTGTCGACCAACAAGGGACCCATGATGGTTTCTTGACTCAGGGATTGCTGGGGATGAAAAATGGGAAAATCGTCCATACTGATTGCTGGTGAATACCATATGGGACTTGTTCATTGCCATGTTTGATTGGGGATAAGTGTTGGTACCCTCTGGTAAACATACAAAAAGCTATTGAAAAGGCAATAGAAATAGTGAGTTTTCCCATTAATAATGGTGATTTTCCATAGTTATGTTAGTTTACCAGAGGGTAACTGTTGCATGCAGCTTCTCCGCTTGTGTCGTTGATACAAGCTGTGGAGCGCGAACTTTGATGAATCAGTCGAAACAGCATCGAGCGTATGGGCTAATTCTAAGGCGAAGTGATAGCCATGAAATAGGGGCTTCCATAAATGTGGATACCCTAAAATGGATGGTAATGTAAATCCTATGAAAATGGATGATTTGGGGGTACCTCCATTTTAGGAAACCACCTTAACTATCTCCAGGATGGTTCCATTCCTATCACTTGTTGTACTCTCTTCATTGCTGAGGGCACCCTGACCTATACACCACCCAGATTCAAGATGGAACCCAGTGAACATGGCATTTTCCATGACAAGATCATGGGCCCAAATTGGCGGATCAATCCAGCTTGCCATGAAACTCCCCCGACTTCGGGCTGATGGGACGATGGGACGATACCATCCATGGTTGGCCCCGCGCCGAGATGGAACCAACAACCCACTAGACTTCATGGTAGGTGGAGCCGGAGAGGATGGGAAGACCACATTGGAGGATGGATATACCCTCTGGTGAACTAACATAGCAATGGAAAATCACCATTTTTAATGGGAAAATCCACTATAAATGGCCATTTTCAATTGCTATGTTAGTTCACCAGAGGGTAAACCATCAAACATGGGGTCTGATGTTTCGTCCTGATTAGTGTGAGGCCCCCCCAAAAAACAATAGCTATACCCTCGATTTTTTTGGCACGGGTGCCAAAAAGTTGGTCCCCAGGGAAAAAACATCCGCACTTAAGCAAGGATTTCAATTGGCTACAATTGAAATCTAATAAAAACTATTTTTTTGCCAATGAACTTGTGGTATTTGTAGTACTTGTAGTACCTGTAGTCTGCCTCAGTAATTACATGTTGTTTTTTTTTGTCAAAACAATGGTCTCGCAAGATTTCTTGCCACAATAGTGAGCCTACCAAACAATGCATGGGTTCAGAATAATTTGGCATTTTTTTGGCACAATAGCGAACCTAGCTACTAATCAGGATACAACATTATAATGATTGGAGAAATACAATTATATATGTATATATAATATATGATAATATAGACGATACATAGTTCATATTAATCAAGCAGTATAACTTATCAGTGTTTGGTTGCTAGTTTCCGGTGCTTTCCATGTTCTATCCTTTTATGTGATATCAATCCAAGGACCAACGATTTCTGTCATGTCACCTGACCAGCTTGGGAAGGTACAGTGAGGGAACCCCACGCCAGGGGCAATGTCACCTGTGGCATGGGGAGTATCGACTCCCTCCAGGGATTGGCTCGAAGTAGTGGACATCCCTCACAAGAAAACAACTGGTGGGGGGTTACTACATGACTAGCCGATTCTGAATTCACGAAAAAAAGAGCAGTCTGTTTGGAACATCTGAAACAGAGCAATGGTTCAAAGGGATTCAAATGGAAGGTTTATGTGCCCTTGTGAATTTACCCTCAGGATCCCTCGAGACGCAATAGGTGTAGGCCCAATGCAGTATTCGTGAACACCTCTTTTATTTGTGTTCAGCAAACTTGAGCAAGCCATTTCTCTGGTTTGTCTTCCAGGCACTTCCATGACTTCAATATTATAATATTGATCAAATACCACCCAAAAATGATACAAGTACGAAACTTATGGGGTGAAACAATGCAAAGCATTCAGAGGGTCTAGATGTCTAGGTAGTCATGAAATTTGTGGATTTAGCTGACGATAATCGCAAGGATTGATTATGATGGAGCGAAGAAACATAGGGGATATCACTACAATGAATGCGGAAATATGACCCAAACATACGAGGATTTGGATGATTTGAAGGGTCTCAAAGGACTTCATCATTGTTGGGTTAAATGGCTTCACATTTGCTTTGACAGAGCTATCCAAAGTAGATGGCTTATACCCCCTTTTGAAAATTGGGGCTAGACCTATGCATGTCCATGTGGAACATCTACCACCATTGCAACAAAACACAATTGTGATTCTAATGTTGGGGCATGGTCTGAAGTGTGGCAGTTGGACCCTGCCCAAAAGATACGATTGCCTTACCTGTTCGTTGGAACACGTCCTTTTTTTCTTGAACCGCCCCAGTTTGAATTCTGGGGATGGTGTGAAATCAGCCATGTCTAGCTGGTTGTTTCAAACGTTACGTATCATGTTGTTCTACCTATAGGATGGTATACTGTGAGCCCCAGAAGTTCGAAGTTGCTTGATAAACAACATAGCATTGACATGCATTAGCTATATAGTTCTAACATGTTCTAACTACTATAGCTTAACGAACTTGGCTAACATCAGCCACATCAATCACCCTCTGGTTGGTGGTTTCAAACATGACTTTTATGTTCCATTTGATTAATATGGGACGTCATCCCAACCCCATTGACTTTCACTCGTATGTCATTAATATGGGATGTCATCCCAACCCCATTGACGAACTCACTCCATCATTTTTCAAGATGCTTAAAACATGTTAAACCATGTTAAAACATGTTAACACCACCAACCAGCCCTGGTAAAATATGGTAAAATCCCATTTCCCGGGATAGTTGGGGAAGGAAAAGCCATTGCTGGCTGTTTTGCTGCTGGGAATGACGTTGGATAGGTTGGATTGTCCATTTTATAGGAAGCCAACGTCACATGGACTAACCAAGGGGGATAATATTGCACGATATCACTGGCTATTTGAACAAAAACTCTTCCCTTCTTGTGCCGATGAGTTTTTGAGTTTTTGCTGGTGACATTCGGAATGTTCGGCAGTTGAAGCCCCATCTTTATGGTATGTTTTGGGCTCAACGGCCCACCGACGAAGCTGAGCCAACCCCTGAAAGACAATTAGATTGTTGGGTGCATCCCTGCACCTGCCTGGTTCTTTGACAGCAGTCCACATCATCAAAAGCAGGCAGCAGGCATCTACTCTTGTATATGGACCACACATAATATTGCTCATATTTGTGATCTCTCTCTCTCTACATATATATATATATACATATAAGATCCGTAAATCTTGAAATGTGTCTGTGTAACTATGATATGAACATCCATATCTATGTATATAATTATATAACGTATCATATATCATATATCATAGATCATACATCCGTATGTGGGTCCATATTCATATCTGTGATCTCCATGCTTCTAGCGGCCTAGCGCATCTCCAACCGCTGCTTCAGCTCCTAACTGTAACCGGTAGAGCCAGGTGAAATGCTCTAGCTCGGGCACTCGGAGGGTGGCAGCCGAAGCGCTGTTAAACCACTCTGCAGTAGGCCACCAGAGGGGTCCGCAGATATTTCTCCATTGTTTTTGGGGGTTCAATATAGCTAATATCACTTGAGCAGTGGCTGCTAAAGATTTGTTGGTTGATGATTATATGGGGATTGCTGTGTACCCGGTATATATTAGGGCCTGATCAGTTTCGACGCGGAATCATGTTTTCTTAACCAAACCAGGTACATGGTGTGACTCTTGAGGAAATAAGCTCGGAACCCGACACAAGAGTGGACCAACGTCCAGCCAGTTCCGTAAATGGATGCCTTTGAGCCAAGACACTGCTGCCTTCTCAAACCACCTCCTTGGCTGCTCGAAAGGCCAAGCATGTCCCATAAGGAAGTGTCAGTGTTCATTTTGGGTGTGTTGAATGCTACTGTATCCTAAGATCTTGCAGCAATGCGCTGTGTGAATGGGAGTTTTGCCATAGTACTAATCAGGATTTTGATGAGGATGGGATTATGATCACGACGATCAGGATGACAACCAGAAGGGCCCGTGGACCTATCCAATGCTTGAAAACTACGAAACTGCGCTGGTTGTTTGTCCAGACTTCTATTTGGTCAATGTTTTTTTTTCACGTATCCATGGCCGCTTGCGAATCAGAAAAGATCGACGCGCGCTGCAGCTGGTGATTGCAGGCAGTTGCACTACCCTACGCGTAGCAACTAAAACTGGGGTGAGGCCATGAAACAAACGGCGATCCAGAACATATACCCTCTGGTAAACATAATTACAACAAGCTATTGAAAGTGGCCATAGAAATAGTGAGTGTTCCCATTAAAAATGGTGATTTTCCATAGTTATGTTAGTTTACCAGAGGGTAACACCATCAATCTTGTCTTCGGTGATGGACGCAAATAATCCTCACAGTGTTGAGCTTCATGTTGCATCAACCTGAAGTGACCAACAGAGAGTGACGCTACATGTCTACCTTGGCTCGACCAGAAAAAAGAGTTGTTTTCCAGCCTGGAAGCCTAGTGAAACAACCCGACATGAGAAATGGGGGGGCCCAGCCTCCAGATTGGCCTCCGGCCTGGACACCTTTTTTTCGCCTGAACATGGGGATAGCCCAAGTTTCAGACCGGGATGATGGTCTATTCCTGATATGATCATTTGCTGGAATACCCATTAGGGTACTTAGGGTACGATATTCATTGGGATGTTTTCCGCATAGAAGGGTATTCAATCAAAATTATGATCAACCATTGGTTTAATGGGTACCACATGAATGGGTACCACATGATACCCATATTCTTGGACACAGCCTCATGGCTCATGAACACCTCAATTTCATCATTTCCCATGGCCACGTGCTTCGAGCTGAATCAAGCCCAAGAGGGCAAAGCTAGAGCTGTCCCAAATGGTAAAGATGTCTTCGGGTAAAATCAAGGTCAGTTGACAACAGAAAGCCACCAGCTTAAAGCGAAAGTGACATAGCCCTGCACCTTTTTGGCATTGTGTGTTTGCAATGTGTATTAGGATTATTAGGGGGATCTGGCAAAAATTGACGAAATGGTCTGGAGTCTAGTTAAGATAGTGAAGCAGTGCCCCTCACCCACTTTTTGACACCAAAAAATATGTCTGGAGGCTTAGAGGAGATCACTTCACCTCAGCTTGGTAGTCATCAGTTGACCTATCATCCTGCCACATGCCATGCGACTTGCCTCCCTCACCGGAACTGCGCTATGGCTGGCTGGATCCTTAGGTCACGGTTGCGGAGAATGTCATAACGCGCATTGAATCATGGAAATGGAGGATGCCCCAATTTGGCAATTTTAATATGAAAATCAACCATGGGATTTGGCCATTTAAACTTTTCAACCGACCCAGTTTGAAATGAATCGGTGAAGCTTCCGATATGCGTCAAGATCTTTATGTGATTAGTCATTACGCTAATTTCATGACCTAAGCGTGTTTTTGGAAATGGTGGTGTTTGAGGTGGAGCATTTCATGGCTTGCTTGATGATAGCCAAAGGTGAACTTCTCCCGTTGCTGCCGCAAAGAGGGTCGCCCACAATTCCATGATCATCAGATGTCGCTGTTGAAATATCTTGGAATGGCCATATCATGCTTGAAATATATCAACATTACCATTGGAGTAAAATTCATGATACAATGCCTTGCAATTTTCAGCAATTTTACCTTAAAGGGCCTTAATGGTAATACGTTGCGGTTGGGTCTCCTTCATGTTTGCACAACCCCAACTCAGCATCTGAGGGGGGGTCACCTGTCAGAATCAGGTCGGCTGCAATGCCAGCCTTGCACCACTGTCGCTGGAGCTGGTTCCCCGGCATCGAACTAACACTCTGTGGTTGGTCCAACATGGAGGGTGGGCACCCATTTTGGAATGGATATATGGACATATAAAATCATATATAAAATTCCAACTCAATACTGTATGATATTTGGGGTGTGTCCAAAATAGAGGATTTACCACTGTTTGTGGCTCTAAAATCACTGGATCCAGATGATCCAGGTGTGTGAACAGCTGGAATCTCAGCTGGCAACCGAAAGCCCGCATTTAACAGGACCATACGCAACACAGGTCATATTCCATTGCCACATTAGATGATTGACGCCATCTAGTGAATTTATGGAATGAGCATCTTTTTCAGTACTTGCGTTCTACGCATGCAGATGCTACAAAAATTCGGCCCTTTTGTGCTGTTCATGGAGATTGGCAAAGCTATTCTTGTTGGTTTAATGAATCATCGTGTTCTTGCTGGACTTACCACGTTTTGTTGACCAACTTGTTTTTTTGTTGACACCCCTGAGCCAATTCCTGATCAGATCACCATTAGTGCTTTTATATAAACCAAACCATTTGGTTCACTTGCCGTTCATGTTGTTTCAATGGCACCAATCGTTTATTGAAGTCATTCTTTTGTTGGTAAACGATCTATTTTGGTTGGCATAAGACTTGTTCGCCGGTCAAAGCCCCACTCTTGTTGACAACATACTTGAAAAAAAATATGATACATCACCATTCGTATACATTTTTTGTTGACCATCTGTCTTTTTTTTACATGCAGAATCAC